GGCCAACAGGCTGATGATTTTGCCTGCCCCGTTGGCCGATTGCGTTGCGGGCAGGGGAGGAGGGCAAGTGGTTGCCCTCGATGCGTATGCCGCTGGCTTTTGGCGGCCGTTGCACATGTGTTGCAAATTCAAGTATTTACCCATGGCATCTATTTTTAGAAAATCCAGTTTTTTGGCAACAACAACAACAACAACAACAACAACAATCAGACGCTGATGTTTTGCATGTTTTGGAGCAAAAGATTCGCAGATTTAAATACACTTTTCAAGAGGTTCACATATCTAAAAAATCATTTTGGTTTGACCTCAAAAGTTGTGGCGCCATTCAACTATTCAGTCCATCCGTCCATCCATCAGTCAGTCAGTCTGTCAATCTGTCAGTCTGTCAATCAGTTCAGCGCCCTTCACTTTCACACAGAAAGCTGCTGGGCGCCGTCTGATATGGCCAGATGCCAGTCTGTTTAACTGAATGAACCGCATGACTTGAATGACTCTCCGGTTGAGCCTTAGGCAGAGCCTCGGATGCAGTTGAAATGCCAAAACGTTGCATTGTCGTCATGTGCCTCCATTTACGGCGGCAAGCGAGCGAGCGGCGCCTGTCTCGGCCACATCACGATGTTGAAGTTGCAACTGTTGTTGGCGCTGCTGCAACTGTGCGGCAGGCTCCATCTTCTACATTGTCACTTGTTTGAAAGTGAAATTTTGTGCGTGTAGCACATCTGTTGACGTGCCCCTGTTGCCACTTGCCACTTGCCACTTGCCACATGCCAGTTGCTACACCCTGCTTCATGCGCGCCAATCTCTATCAGCCTTGGCATTGTGTTGCCCGGAATTATCTTCTTTTTTTTTCGCCTCAACAATTGAGGACTTGCGTTTGGAGTCGGGCAAGTGATGTAATAAATGGCAGCTGAAAAACGACAAGTAAAATTGTGGAAATTGTGTTCTGGATTCCAATTAAAATTGGTTAAAAAAAAAACAAAGCTTTTATTTAACAGTTACTCAAATATTTAAGGAATTTTCATGATCAAATTTATTTTAAATGCCCAAACAGAAAATTCCAAATATTTGCATTCACTTTTGTAAATATTTAAAATAAGAAACGAACCATGAACAAATTAAGGCAACTCGTGAAAACTTTGCATATTGTTTATAAATTTCATAAAAAATGTTCAAACATATATTGAAAAAAAACCAAAAAAAAAAAAGGTGCGTAAATATTTATGGTTGTTCAGAAAGATGCCAGAATAGAAACTGGAAATGCGGAAAGTTCAGGATTATAAAAACATTGAGAGACATAATAAATGGTTAAGCAAATTAAAGCAACTAATTTTAGTTGAAATTATGTTAATCAATGCAAAATACAGGTCTTTGCCAGAGTACTTGGAATATTACGTTTTAATTCATTTGCCATAACTTTTTCTTAAAATAACTTTCATTATTATATTTTATTAATTACTTTTCTATCAAACTACATTTTTATAAAAATGTTTATTATGTTAATGCGCGCTATTTACATTATTTTTTGTGTCTGCTTGAAGGAAGCCCGCCCCCCTAAATAAATTTCTTATGCATAACATTGAACCAAATTGAATTTGGTTGAACTTCATTTGCTATTTGCGACACTTCAGTAGGGGAAAAATGGAAAAATCGTATTGACTTGGACGGCTTCTCGTGCCGCTGTTAACAATATTCTAATCAAGTGATTGTGCAAATGGAGAACGGAGATTGGGCAAATGTGGATGTGGAATGGGTAGCATTTGTGGATGATGTGTTCGAAGCGGGGCCAATGGTCCAGCTGGCGGCGATTGCATCATGGCTAAGGACTGGTTCAGGGTCGTCGTGTTCAGGTTCAGGTTCAGGTTGTTTGTGTGCTGCTTCGTCTAGTGGACTAGGGCAAGACATTTGCAACAGTTGAACAGTTCGTTTGCCTTCTAATTTGATTTGAATGTTGTCAAGCTGGTCCACCAAGCATTCAGACATTATGCTAAGTCTGTAAGGCGCAAATGTTCCACGCACTTTCTCTGTCCTGTGCCGTTGTCATTTGCTGGGACTGGCAATCGACTCGTTTTACACTCATGTCAACGCCATTTGACATCCAGTCTGGCTTGTCTAGTTATTAGGAAAACTTCAATGCTTCAACTCTAAAGAGTTCCTAACTATCCTTCGGTGCTTGGGTTTCAATTAATAAATTGCTTGCAAATCACGCTCTAGAGTCCCATAAGCTCATCGAATAGTGGCGCAGCTGAAACATTAGCCAAATGACCTTCGAACCCTTTTTTTGTTATTTAGAGTGAAGCCCTTTTTTGCGTAGGCCTCGTGTATTGTTGACAATGTTTAATACTTAGCTGGTCGCTGGGCGTGGCTGTTTGTGGTGGGCGTAGACTTGTTGATGATTGATGGCATTGAACGAGCTGCTCCGTGAAGTCCTGTGCTGTTCGAGACACGCGTCTGTGGGCGTGTAAACAATATAAAACCCGGCAAAATGTTCAATCAGTTGCCATGCTAAAAGATATTTGAAGCGTGTAAAGCTCTTTGGATCGATGAAGGCCAATCGAAATTAAATTTTAGTTAACCATTAAAAACAAATAGTTGTGCGCATTGTAAAACATATATTCTAAGCACAACTGTTTTATTTACGTTTCTTAATATATCCGCAAATGTTACCGCGCATCAAACATATTTCTCTTATCATAAAAGTTCCCGTAAAAAATATTCGTCTGATAAAAAAATGCACGTAATTAAATTTACCCAGCAGAAATTCCGGCAAATAAATATTTTTCCGAAAAATTGTTAATTTAATATTGAAGAAAACGCAAAAACAAAAAAGAAAAGTATTAAAATGTTTGTGCGTGAAAAAAGCATATTCCTTTTTAATTTATTTTTCTTTTTGAAATATATTATTTAATTAAGTTTTCAAGTGCTGTGTAAGATTTAATTTAAAAAAATTATTGGCAGTCGCGAGCGTTTCATGTAATTGGTAGCTCAGCATATTTTATTTTTTATTTGTGAAGTCGATTGACAGCAAAATTGCAATTCAACTAATGTATACGACTGGCAAATACGCTTTTTATTCGGATTTCTCGATAAATGCACAAGTAGAATAAACTTTGAAATGAAATCAATTCTTTTATCGCTTATCGATAGCTGCAATAATCGATTGGCATTTTTCACTGAGTTAACGCGCGCCAAGTTTGAAGGCGGAAGTTGTGTTGTGATAAAATTATAAATATATTGCTTTATCTACTATAGGCCTTTAAAACAAACACAGCTACATACATATACATTATCATATATGTTGTCTAGCTACATATGTATGCATATTAATGGATATTCATATGTATGTACAGACAGATCAGACTGACAACCCGGCAGTCCGTTGAATTCGTCGTCGCCTCACGCAGGTTATTCGTATTCGTATTTTTATTTGCATTTATATTTGTACATAAGTGTGTGTGTGTGTGTGTGTGTGTGTGTGTGTGTGTACGTTTATGTGTGCGCGCGTTGCTCAGCTGCCCCGGTCGCCCCTCTCCGCTGGCTAGCTGCTAGCTCTTCGTGAGGTTTGTCATGTTTGTTTGTTTGTAAAAATATGTAATGTCGTGTTAGTTTATCCAATGGCGTGCCGTCGTGTCTATTTTTAGTGTACAAGCTTTATTTTTAGACTGGCGGCAGCAACAACTTTAACTTTAACTGCACAAAAGTACAAACAGAGAAAAAACCACACAATGCGGCGACCGCCTTATTGCATTTGCAACTTGTTGCGCCGCGAGAGAGCCAATGTAAGAGCACAAACATAGAGCGTGAGTGTGTGTGAGTGCGAGAGTGAAAGAACGTGTGGAAGGGGTGGACTGCAGTGCGAGAGAGTGGCCGCTGCACGTTGCGGCTACGTGATGTTTTTGTTGGTTTGGTTACACAACTTCCAGCTGCCTGCTCTCAATGTCTGCTCTGCTCTGCTCTGCTCAGTTCTGTCTGTCTGTCTCGTTTTGCTCTCTGTGTGCATTTGCATTTGCATTTGTATTTGTGTTTGCATTTGTATTTGTTTTTGTATTTGATTTCGTTAAACGTTTTATCACGTCGCTGTCGCTGTCGTCGTCGTCGTCGTCGTCGTCGTCGTCGTCGTCGTCGTCGTTACGTTTAAAGTTTACTTTTAGTTGCTTCGTTTCTTATGATTCTTGTTTTGCTCGATTTGTTTTTCTCATATTTTCTTTGAAATGTGAATTCTATTTATAGACCATTGGTCTTTTATTCGCCTCTCAGTTGGCGCACATTCCGCTCTCTGTTTACATTAAAAATATTTAAATTGTTGTCACGTACCAAGTTCTTAATAGGTTACGTTATGTGTTTATTTAACTCATTTTGATTAGCAGCCGAGAAAAGCACAATAAAAGACACGCTTAGTAAATGCGGTTGTTGTTGTTGTCGTCGTTGATGGTGGACAGCAGCAGCAAAGCTCCGTTACAAAATTCATTGGAACTCATTTACAAATTAAGATTTTCAACCCTTTCCCAATGGAGCTTTTCTCGTAAATTGCATACCAAAAGTTTGGCAAAACTTGCAAATATCTATTCTATATATAGAAGGGTAACTCATTTAAAAGATTAAAATTTAAATTGATATAGACACTTCCGGCTCTCTGATACTACATACATACATACATACATACATACATATATAAAACAATTCTCACTCGCTCGTTTCTCTTGTCTGCCTTGCCCCCCTTCTTGCTAATCTTAAACGTTTTATCTGCCCTGTTCGTTTTCTTCAGCCGCTCTCAGCACGCATTCGATTAGAATAAATATTTGTTAGAATTGTTTGATCTCATGAAAATCGCATAGAAACGCGATATTTTCGCAATTTGAGAAATTCAAGGCCTGAATTTAGAAACTCGTTGTCGGGCAGTTAACATGGTTAACATTTTCTTATCAGTCAAAAAAGTTAAAGTTAGGTTAGTATTTAAAATTTATTAATTTAAGCTTTGAATTTGGTTGTTTTTTTAATTTAAATTTTTTTCGAACCTATGACCTTCAACTTCAACTCTTATACCCAAGAATTCCAGCAAACTTGGCTAACTCTATCTCTAATGCATGTGTCTGGCTTGAATTTGTAGATTATATCATATATATTATACATATATATTGATATAAATATTTATGATATATATGAACTGTTGGCGGCAATGGTTAATGTGACTTTGTTGGCTTTTTAATCTCATTCGCAATTTTCTTGATGGCAGGCGGTATGCGCTTTGCCACGCCCGGCTGTGAGCTCAGGAACGAGATCTCAAAGAGGGCGGGTCGGCTAGAGTAGACATTGTGGAGCATACTGATGAACCAGAATAGCAAATCGTCCATGTTTGTTATCGTGCACTGGGCAAACACAGCGCCCGCATCCCGGCCGTGCTGGTGGGAGTCAAACAGGGCGACAATTGAGGCGCGAAAATCAAAGGTCATCATCACCGTTCGACTGTCCGCTATGATGGCGGCAAATAGATGCAATGGCATCTCGCGACCGCCGGAGCCGCCCGCTTGCTGGAACACCTGCAAGGTGATCTGAAAGATGCGAGATAGCTGCATGGCAACGTTGCGATTGTACATGGGATTACTGGGATCGGCCTCCATGTGCGTGTAAAACCACTCCTCCAGCCGAAAGTTCATCTTGTGCTGTGAACGAATCGCCGATATTGCGTCTGGTATATTAAGATTTAGATTGCGCGATAAAGGCGTATGAGCTGTTATAACATTGTGATAGACATTGTTGCCATCGTTCATTGCATTTCCAAATAGCTCCCAGCCACGGGACGGCAACTCGCCCACACGATGATAGAACCTCTCCGCCTTTGCCACCTTATCCGCCAGGATTAGCGATATCAGAGTGCACGAATTGGTGCCACTCTGCTGAAACTCTCCGAAACGTGACTGGCAAAAGTCGCGCGGAAACCACCAGATGTTCAGGTTGTCGATCTGCTCATGTATGGCCATCCTGGAGTGGGTTCGAGTGCGCTCGAAAGGATTCCTAATGTCTGATGGACAGAAATAATGCCATCATTGATGCAAGGTTGAAAGTGAGAATTGGTAGAAATGATTGCGATCGGATGGGACCGAGTAATTGAATCGTTACCGTGCGCTGGGCCCAGTCTTTCGTACTGCTGCTGTCACATAATTCATAAAAGTCACCTTCTTAACACTGCACTGCAAGAGCGAGCTTCCTAGTTTGTCCTTTTGCTTAGCTAAACATTGAATTTTGGGTGTCTTTTGCCGGAGGAGTGTTGAAACGAAAACGAAAAATTTTGATAAGAAAACAACAAAATAAAAGAATTTCTAACAAACAAAAAACATGATGTGTGCGACTGGACAGTAAACTGAATGAGAAACTGAGTCCAAAAATTATAACTAACTCCTTGAATTATAACAAAAAAAAAAAAAAATATATATATATATAGTGACATATCCATAGTCGCACCCACCCTTTAACATAACTTAGCACATAAGCATAAGCACAACTATAAACATTTCTAATATTGTAAACAAAGAGCCTGGTGATAACATCGACATTGGTCAAGATCAAACTGTCCCCCTTTGGTAGACATAAACAATTCACCCTAAATATCACGCCACTGTCAATGTTCCCATCAGAGTACTATCCCACGCATAATTGCTGACGCAGCTCAAACTTCACTCAATTTTGACTCAAACTCTCTCAAAGCGAAGTTTGCTAAGCGACCGCAACAGTTAGATAAATTAGTTCATATTCGGGAAGCAAATCTGAATGTACTCAACAAAAGTAGCCGTTAAGTGAAAATAATAAATTGAAATATATTTTTTTATAGTAACCTAACGTGTAAAACATAATTGGCGCAGCCGGTAGGATACGTCGGGAAAAATTAAAGATCGCTAAAGGATAATTAATTCCCAGATCTAACGCACAATCGCGACCGAAAGTGTTGTCGGAGTGTAATAAAAATTTTCTCGAATACGTATCCGCACAAGAACCTTCGGGTCATTAGTAGCTTAATAATATTGACCCTTTGGGCAATAAAGCTACTACAGTTAATAACGACTGGATTTGCATATCGTTTGATCCCTGCAATACGTTATTACTGAGTCTTTTTAAGACACACACACAAAAAAAAAAAACATTTAACCAATAATCCATCACAAACTTTAACCTAAAATAAAAGTGCAAAATCAAAGAACAATAAAGTTCAAACCTACAAACTCAAAACTATTCAAAAAAAGTGTATTACATCAAGATGACCATGGAATTATCAGAACAACACCTCAACCAGGCCCTTTCACAACTTAGACAGGTGCCAAGCTTTGACGGATCAACGGATCAACTAAACGCCTTCATTAAAAGGATAGATTACATCCTACACCTGTATCCAACCCGAGATGTTAGACAACATAGCATCTTATACGGAGCCATCGAATTGCAAGTCACAGGAGATGCTCAGAGAATATCACAAAGGACAGCAGCCAACACTTGGCAGGAGCTGAGAAACGCATTGATTGAAGAATACAAAGTGCAGACACCATTTGAAGAACTCCTTCGACGCTTATACAACACGAATTACCAAGGAAACGTCCGTAAGTTCATCGAGGAGCTCGAAAATAAATCTTTTGTTATATTAAATAAGTTAGCACTAGAAAATATACCTAGCAATACAACCCTTTATACAAATGCTATGAATAACACAATCAAAGATGTTATTACAAAAAAATTACCAGATAGGCTTTTCATGATGTTAGCCAGACACGACATTACGTCGACACAAAAACTAAAGCAAGTAGCTCAAAGAGAGGGATTATATGAAAATAGCGTTACTGAAAAACCTAAAAATAATAATGTTCAGGGAAATCCAAATAACAATCGTAGGAACATGGGAAATTATCAGCAAAATGCTAACCCAACCACCATTTCAAGTGGTTATTCCAACACGAATCAGAGTTATCACGCACAAAATAAACAGCATAATAAGTCCGAAGACAATCAGAAAGCTCACCACGAGTTCCAACAGAAATTAAGTCAAGGTAGATACCAAAATCCCTTAAACTACCAAAATCAGTCCCATTCACGCTTGAATGCACCAAACCCTCCGACTAAACGTCAAAGAGATAGTAACAGTGGGCAGATGAAAATGGATACATCCGAAAATTTTCATCAGCAAGCCTCGGAACAAACAGAACAAATCCATTCATAAAATTGATTATGAATGACGAAGTTCTAAAATGTGTCATCGACACAGGTTCAACCATAAATCTAATGAAAACAAACCGCTTAAATTTTCCAGTTTACAACGAAACATTAAAGGTTCACACCATAAATGGTGTTATTGAATTAAAACAAAGTATACGCTTAGGAGCAAGCAAAATTTGTCCGAGCAAACAAAAATTCTATATTCACGACTTCTCAGAGCATTATGATGTTCTGATTGGGAGAGAATACCTTGAGGCATGTCAAGCAAAAATAGACTATGCACAAGGATCCGTAACCTTAGGAGAATTTAACTTTTGTTTTAGATATAACGACGAAGAGGTCGAAGAGGACATGACCGCACAAGAGTGCCTTGATCCACCCTCAACAGAGGACAGACCATTTAACTTCGCTATTAATAATGAATTAATAGAAAACAATGAGTTTAGGCTAGAGCACCTAAACTCAGAAGAAAAAGAAAAAATAAAAAAAGTTTTACATGAATTTCGTGATATCCAGTACCATGAAGGTGACAATTTGACTTTCACTAGTACAATTAAACACAAAATTCTAACAAAACATGAGGACCCAATTTACAAGCGTCCATACAAATATCCTCAAATATACGATGAGGAAGTAAATAAACAAATAAGCGATATGATAAAACAAAATATCATACGTAAATCCAAATCCCCTTACTGCTCACCAGTAATAATCGTTCCAAAGAAAAACGATGCATCTGGAAAGCAAAAGTTCCGGTTAGTCATAGATTACCGCAATCTCAATGAACTAACTATTAATGATAAATACCCTATCCCGATCATGGATGAAATATTAGACAAACTTGGAAAATGTCAATATTTCACAACCATTGATCTAGCCAAAGGCTTCCACCAAATCCAAATGGATCCTGGTTCAATACCCAAGACCGCATTTTCGACTAAACATGGCCATTACGAGTACACTCGCATGCCATTTGGTCTTAAGAATGCACCTGCAACGTTCCAACGTTGTATGAACAATCTCTTAGAAGATTTAATTTTTAAAGATTGTCTGGTCTACTTAGACGACATTATTATTTTTTCCACTTCATTGGAGGAACACATTTTGTCGCTACAAAAGGTATTTAAGAAGCTTAGAGAAGCTAACTTAAAACTACAGTTGGATAAATGCGAGTTTATGAGAAAAGAAACTGAATTTCTCGGTCACATCATCACAACTGAGGGTATAAAACCAAATCCCAACAAGATACAAGCAATTGTCAAATTCCCAATTCCAAAAACCCCAAAAGAAATAAAATCATTTCTAGGATTATGTGGTTTCTATAGGAAATTTATACCAAATTTCGCTAATATAGTAAAACCATTAACACTTAAATTAAAAAAAGGAGCAAAAATCAATATAAAAGACAGAGACTACGAACTAGCGTTTGAAAAGCTAAAAGTACTCATAACATCCGACCCAATTTTAATATACCCTAACTTCGAAAAACCATTTTCATTAACTACAGACGCGAGTAATATGGCAATAGGGGCCGTCCTTTCGCAAGAGCATAAGCCTATATGCTATGCAAGTAGAACTCTCAACGAGCATGAGTTAAATTATTCAACGATTGAAAAAGAATTATTAGCAATCGTTTGGGCCACTAAATACTTTAGGTCCTATCTCTTTGGTCGACAATTTCAAATCCTTAGTGATCACAGACCACTCGTCTGGTTAAATAATATGAAAGAACCTAACATGAAATTACAAAGGTGGAAGATCAAGCTAAATGAGTTTGATTTCCAAATTAAATACGTCCCAGGAAAAGAAAATTATGTGGCAGATGCTCTGTCCAGAATTCAATTAAACGAAAACTTCTTAGGCGAAGATACAATTAGCACAAGAGCAACAATACATAGTGCTCAAGAAGACAACAGTAACCATTTACAAATCACAGAAAGACCACTTAATTATTATAATCGACAAATAGAATTTGAAAAAGGAACCGAGAACGAAACAAAAGTTACGAATTACTTTCACAAAACCAACATAAAAATTACGTACAAAGACATGACTAATACGCATGCCAAAGAATTAATAAAAGAATACTTATGCACAAAGAAAAGTGTGCTATACTTCCACAACGAAGCAGATTTTCCAATTTTTCAAGAAGCCTACTTAGAAATAATAAGTCCGAATAATTCAACAAAGGCAATGAAAACTAGTACAAAATTAATAGACCTTCAAACATACGCAGAATTCAAAGAATTAATATTAAAAAAGCACAAAGAATTATTACATCCAGGAATTGAAAAAACTATCAATTGGTTCAAAGAAACCCACTATTTCCCAGATTATCAAAATTTAATTCAAAATCTAATAAATGAATGTGAGATTTGCAACATCGCAAAAACAGAACACAGAGATACAAAATTAACTTTCGAAATAACTCCGGAAATCGCTAATATCCGAGAAAAATATGTAATGGATTTTTACATAGTAGGAGATAAACAATTTTTATCTTGCATTGATATCTATTCAAAATTTGCATCATTAATAGAAATAAAAAGTAGAGACTGGCTAGAAACCAAACGAGCTATATTACAAGTGTTCAACCAAATGGGTAAACCCATCGAAATAAAGGCAGACAAAGACTCAGCTTTTATGTGCACAGCTTTACAATTATGGCTAAAATCAGAAGCAGTAAATATTAATATAACCACTAGTAAAAATGGTATATCCGACGTAGAACGATTTCATAAGACAGTTAACGAAAAACTAAGAATCATTAACAGCGACTCAGACGTCGAAAATAAACTTACAAAATTTGAAACTATACTCTACACGTACAATCATAAAACAAAGCACAAAACGACTAACAGAACACCAGCGGACATATTCATATATGCAGGTACACCAGAGTATGACACTCAAGCTAATAAAGAAAAACTAATAAATAACCTCAACAAAAAACGAACAAATTATGAAATTGACACTAGATACAAACACTCACCGTTAGTTAAATCAAAGACGACAACCCCGTTCAAGAAAACAGGAGAACTAAGACAAATCGACGACAAACATTTTGAGGAAACTAACAGAGGCAGGAAAATAACACATTACAAAACCAAATTCAAAAAGAAAAAGAAGACTAATCAAAGCAAATATAACAATTACAGGTCAACAACAGACAGCGATCAAAACATACAAGCACCAGCTTAAATTAATTATTATAATATTACTATCAATAACTGTAAACCATATAAATGCACAGAGTATTGAAATTAATCCTATCAAAGCCCATAACGGATATCTCATATTTAAAACAGGAACCTTAGACATTCCGACAGATTACGAATTCCACTGTTTAACGGTTAATATAACTAAAACCGAAGAAACTTTTAACAATTTAATTGAACAAAGTAAAGAATTCAATAACCTTATACAAATCGAATACCTAGTAGAAAAATTAAACAGAGAAATAAACGGCTTAAAAATAGCCAAACGCAGCAAAAGAGGTTTAGTTAACATAGTAGGAACAGCATATAAATACTTATTTGGAACATTAGATCAAGAAGACAAAGCAGAAATTGAACAAAAAATAAGCAACTTAGCAGAAAACAGCGTCCAGGTTAACGAATTAAACTACATAATAGAAGCTATAAACAAAGGAATAGAAATCATGAACGAACTAGATCAAGAGAAACAAAAAGGAAAGAAATTAGATATCCTTATATTTAACTTACAACACTTTACAGAATATATAGAAGACATTGAGATGGGAATGCAGCTCACAAGATTAGGAATTTTTAACCCAAAATTACTAAAACATGACTATTTGTTGCATGTTAATTCTGAGAAATTGTTGAATACAAAAACTTCCACTTGGTTTAAATCAGATACAAACGAAATACTGATAATATCCCATATTCCTCGAGAAATAATAAAAAGCCCGGTATTCGAAATAATTCCATACCCGGATGAAAATAATAATATTTTGACAGAAATAGCTCATGAAAAATATTTTACCCAAGATAAAAAAGTTTATAGCAAAGAAACAAAAAAATTAATTAATAATGAATGTTTAACAGGAATTTTAAACCAAATAACATCAGAATGTAGTTATACTAAAATTTTGCAAAATTTTCAAATCAACTACATAGAACCAAATATAATTTTAACTTGGAATTTACCAAAAACTATATTAAACCATAATTGTATAAATAACGAAATAACAATAGAAGGAAACAATATAATAAAAATCTTTAATTGTTCATTGCAAATTAATGAAATTTCAATTTCAAACAATATGTTAGATTATACTCAAAGCATTTACGTAAGCAATGATGTTATAAAATTAGAACCACTTTCGTTTGTACAAACGAAACAAATTATAAATGCACATACAAAATTTAACAATGTATTCCAGATAATTACAATAACCATATTTGTAATCATATTAATAAGTTTAACACTGTATTTGACATATAAGTTCAAAAGCATACCTAAGAAATTAATTATAAAATATAAAAAACCCAAAGTAGAAGAAACACCTACAATAATAGGAGATATACCAATTCTAAAAGAAGAAAATGTTACACTATATCCAAACTTAAACACCTGAGGACAGGCACTTTTCTAATGGTTGGGGGAGTGACATATCCATAGTCGCACCCACCCTTTAACATAACTTAGCACATAAGCATAAGCACAACTATAAACATTTCTAATATTGTAAACAAAGAGCCTGGTGATAACATCGACATTGGTCAAGATCAAACTGTCCCCCTTTGGTAGACATAAACAATTCACCCTAAATATCACGCCACTGTCAATGTTCCCATCAGAGTACTATCCCACGCATAATTGCTGACGCAGCTCAAACTTCACTCAATTTTGACTCAAACTCTCTCAAAGCGAAGTTTGCTAAGCGACCGCAACAGTTAGATAAATTAGTTCATATTCGGGAAGCAAATCTGAATGTACTCAACAAAAGTAGCCGTTAAGTGAAAATAATAAATTGAAATATATTTTTTTATAGTAACCTAACGTGTAAAACATAATTATATATATAAATTTTTGTTCAATTTTGTTTTGAATTTTTAACTGATGAGAGGTTTTTCCCAGAGCTCCCTTTCCCCCTGTGATTATCCCGATAAAAGTGAGCAAAGCTTGCAGAAAGTCACCCAACAAATACAAAATGTGTGTATAAAGCCTCGTTCTGGGGCAAACATCAAGATCATCTGCTTAATTTAACGCTTAAAAATCTAGAAATCTACATTTCCTAGAGAAGAATTTATCTTTTGCACCTAGACTCATGTCAGATGCCTCCATAGCTCGAGCCACATTGCGTATACGTATTTTTTGTGTCGTTTAATTGGAAGAATTCTCTCATCTTTCTGTTTCTCATCTTTCACTACATTTTAATCTCTTAACTCTTAACTCTTATACGTATATTTCAAAATCTTTATTCAAAGAATTTTTCCATCTTTGAATTTTCGTAAATATATTTTAAACTATAATCTACTTTTTCTTTAGCCTTTTTAATTTATTCTTTAAATTTGCTTTAATTCTTGAATCCGTACAAAATTATGAATTACGCTTGAATTTAACCCGATTAACACAAGTTAAGGGGCAGCAACTGGTTGAGGGATAATGCCACAAACAGAATTATATAATGTGGAAATCAGCCCATGCATAATTAATGCAACAGCCAGAACGAGCACCAGATTGCGGCGCGTGCCTCTCGTGTGTGTGGCTCTATAGTCAGGGGGGGAATGGGGGAGTGGTGGGCGGTAAGTTTAAAAATCCTGCCGGAGAAGCACACAAATAGCCATATATTGAACAATACAAAATAGCCGCAAGCATATGCAGCTGGGAAAATCTTTTTGTCCGACAAGTGCCTGAGGAAAAGGAAAAGGAAAAAAAAACGAGGAGAGATGCGGGCGACAGGATATGAAAGGAATTTAACTTGACATTCCATGTCTCTGTGTTTGTGTGTATAACTTTTGGCATTTTCCACTCAACTAGCCGGACAAACTATCCAGAATTGCACTATATTCGAACTGCCAGCCCTTCCATAGAATTTCATTACTTTCCTTTTTGTAATTGTGTGTGTGGGTGTGATAGAGAGAGAGAGAGAGGGAGCTAGACATTGGCAAACATGTATTTTAATAATACCCTGGAATAAAGCATAAAAGTAAACTAAATACACTTCGATTAGTTAAAGCTTTCCCGAGCAAAAGGTGCTTTTCATAAGTCGTGTTTATCTAGTTCCAAGAAAAAGGTCGACCTACTTATGGACTTCTTTAAATACAGGTATTTCTTTTTTTTCCATACTTGTTTTAAATTTCTTTAATCAATTTGTCGCGTAAGTCTATTTAAGCAGTCACTTAACTGTGCACGAGCATTACGCAGTCGGCTATACCCGACTAGATGAATTTAGCATGTTATGGCTACATTTTTTTTGTATCACATTCAATTGAAACTTCAACCAGCAGCCACTCGCTTTACTGACTTGATCCTTTTTGATTGTATCCTTGCAGCGTGTAAATCTGTTAGCACCCATAGGCGTCGCGCTGAACGGCCCCGGCCTAAGGGGCCATGACGCGTTGGCCCTTCAATTTACTACTATTGCTCTCGGTGGCAGTACGCGACTGTAGCAATCATACCATCCTCACAGTTGGCTATCTAACGGCCCTCACTGGCGAGCTCAAGGACCGCCAGGGTTTGGCCATATCCGGTGCGCTGACAATGGCACTGGATGAGGTAAGCTATCCTAAGTAGCCATAATCATTATGTTGCGATGGAAGAGTATAACTAGTACATAGCTGGATAGCCAAGCACCAGGGACAACAAAGCTAAGTTTAGCCAGCTTGCATCTTGATAATGTCAAGTCAGTGTCAAATGTCAAGCTAATATCTTGAGTGTCCTTCTCTGTACTTGGCTTCTCTTTCAACATAATGATTAGTAACAAATAAAGATTATAATATATATAATATATAATAAGTGTCTATTATAAATTTAAAAGTATCTTAATTAAAACAAATTACCGGTGCCTGCGCTAACTGATGTAAATATATTTGTGTCTGTGGTTCGTTTATAACAAAAAAAGGATTTTTAATTAACGCCCTTCTCTGCGATTCTCGTGAATTCAAGAACACCATGCGGAGTCCCATGTTTCTATTATAATTTTTTTTTTTCGAAAAAAGTGGTATGTGTTTATGTTGCATTGTATTGTTCTCTTGCCGCTGCGCAGCCAATTAAAAAGAAATCATATATTTAATTTCCGCTTTACTCTGCGATTCTCATGAATTCATGAAGGACTTTCAGGCTTTCATACTTTAATTATAAGCATTTTGTTTTAGTCTAATATACTTCAGTATTGTGCATGTGCGCATGTTGACATGTTGACATGTATGCATGTATTTTTTGTGCATCTATACATGCACATGTTTGTAATGTATATGCATGGATAATATGATAAGAAATATACGCATTTGTTTGGTTAACATTTTTAATTTTATTATTTTTTTGTTAACAGATCAACAGAGATCCAAATCTGCTGCCGAATGTAACGTTAGCGCTGCGCTGGAATGATACCAAGGGTGATACGGTGCTGGCTACCAAGGCCATCACTGAGATGATATGCGATGGTATTGCGACCATATTTGGTCCGGAGGGGCCCTGCTATGTGGAAGCTATTGTCTCGCAGAGTCGCAACATTCCAATGATATCCTATGTATGTGCATATATAGAGTATGCGAGTGCTAAACAACAGCATTTCTTACTTGCAATTCTCCACATGTTTGCTTGTATCAAATTAAATGCATTTCTTTACCTCTTTCTCTCTGTCTCTTGCTGTGTCTCTTCACGTCCGTCCCACGAACTTTCAAATAGAAATGTGCAGAGAACCGTGCATCCTCGATACCAACATTTGCACGCACCGAGCCGCCCGACACGCAGGTGAGTGGGAGTTGATGATGGGCGGGCATGGACAGTGGTTGGTAAGGGGTGACGTGTGAGGGGGGGGGCAAAAGCAACAGATTGTTTGTCTGCCAGTTGATGCCTTGACGCCGCTGACATTGAGCCGCACAGTATACATATAATATGTGGCCTTGACAGCTCACAAATCATATATCACACATATATGTGTGCGTAGAGGGAAGTCCGCACAATGCAATGGAATTTTATAACATTGATGGTATTCCCCTTGCATATTTACAGGTCGTTAAGTCGGTGATTGCATTGTTGCGCTATTACGCCTGGAACAAGTTCTCCATACTCTACGAGGAGGTATGGGGCACCGTTGCCGATCTCCTAAAGGACCAGGCATCCAAGCGCAACATGACCATCAATCATAAGCAATCGTTTATCGACGATCGCGCCAAATGCTGTGAGCAAATGATGACCTGTTGCCGCTCCGGCTATTGGTATCAGGTGAGTGGTAATTATGGAAAACATCAACTTATTTAACTTCCTTAATATATAGCCCTATTTAAGTAAATCTTATGATTTGTTGATCTAAAATAGAAGAGAGAGAAAGTGCACAAGTCATTGCTGAAACAGAAAGATCCTTCGTTTTGATTTACGAGATGGATGCATTTTGTGAATAATAAAATATAGGAACAAATATAAAAGAAACAACAAATATAAAACAATTTTTTTTCAATTAAAATATAATATCTTCTATATATAACGGTATAATAATTTATATTAACAATTTGCTTCTTCCACAGGTTGTGCAAAACACGATGAATCGCACACGGATCTATGTGTTTCTCGGTTCGGCGAACAGTTTGATTGATTTCATGAGCTCCATGGAGACGGCCGGTCTATTTGCGCGCGGCGAGTATATGGTCATTTTCGTGGACATGATGGTCTACTCGGAACGGTAAGTTGTCTATATGCCTGCTGGGATCTGTCTAATTGTATACTCTAACGTTCACAGTGAGGCACAAAAGTATCTGCGCAAGGTGGATCAAATCAATCGGATGACCAACTGCAAGAGCACCGAGAACTTTAATCAATTGGCGCGCAGCTTGCTCGTTGTGGCATCAACGCCGCCCACCAAGGGCTATGAGAAGTTTACGGAGCAGGTGCGCAACTACAGTTCGATGCCGCCCTTTAATTTTACAGTGCCACAGCTCTTCTCGCAAAGCAAATTTAGCAAGGTGAGCCACGAGAATATAATGCTCAGTGATTCGAGCAAACCAATTGACACAAATGTTCCCCGATTTCAGTTCATTTCGATCTATGCGGCCTATCTGTATGATTCCGTAAAGCTGTACGCCTGGGCGCTGGACAAAATGCTGCGCATGGAGGAGCGTGTGCTCACCGATGAGGTCATCTCTGAGGTGGCCAGCAATGGAACGCGTGTCATAGATACAATCATCAAAAACCGTACTTATATGAGTGAGTGTTCAATTGGCTTTTAAGCAACAAACGATTGTATCTAACATATATTTAAATTTATTTTGGTATTACCAAACTAGGTGTCACCGGTTCCACAATCAAAATCGATCAGTATGGCGATTCGGAGGGCAACTTCTCGGTGCTGGCGTACAAGCCGCATAAATGGAACATATCCGAGAATATCCGTTGCAATTATCATATGGTGCCCGTGGCGTATTTCCATCAAGGCGAAGAACTTCCAGTGAGTGAGTCGTCTTCTCTTTTTTAGTTTGCATTACTTTGAGTTTGCTCAAGACCCAACAGACAAACTGAGAATCTCACAATTGAATTGCTCAATCAATTGATTGCAGGAATATAAACTGATAAATGGCTCGATCGATTGGCCCTCCGGCGGCGAGAAGCCCACCGATGAGCCCATGTGCGGATTTGCCAATGAGCTATGCAAAAAGGATGATACCCATTACACATCCACTGTGGCCGCGGTCGTCCTGGGCGTCTTACTATTCTGCTCCGGGGTGGTCACCATGAGCATCTATCGCAAATGGAAGATCGAGCTGGAAATCGAGGGTTTGCTGTGGAAGATTGACATTTGTGAAATCAAGGACTATTCCGGCAATGAAATTGTCTCATCGCCCAGCAAAGTAAGCGAAATAAAACACCGAAAAATCTAATAGATATTACTAACTGCAGATTGCTTGCTCTTTTGCCAGGTCAGCCTGATGAGCGCCCAAAGTTTTGGCTCCCGTTGGTCCCATCAGTTCGTTACCTCGACCGCGCGTCTGCGCGGCGCCGTTGTGCGCATCAAGGAGTTAAAGTTTCCACGCAAACGCGACATCTCGCGCGAGATCATGAAGGAGATGCGTCTGCTGCGCGAGCTGCGTCACGACAACATCAATAGCTTCATTGGCGCCTGTGTGGAGCCCACACGCATACTGCTAGTCACGGATTACTGCGCCAAGGGCAGCCTGTACGATATCATTGAGAACGAGGACATTAAATTGGATGATTTGTTTATAGCCTCACTCATAAATGACCTCATCAAGGTGCGTGTTCCTGAATTTATAATTGTAATGCACAGCTTATTTGCTTTCGCTACTTTGTTTTACTTGCAGGGCATGGTGTACATACACAGTTCACAGCTGATCTATCATGGCAATCTCAAATCCTCGAATTGTGTGGTCACCTCACGCTGGATGCTGCAAGTCACAGACTTTGGTCTGCACGAGCTGCGTCAGTGCGCCGAAAGCGAGTCCATTGGCGAGCATCAGCATTATAGAAGTTAGTATTAACTTTTGATTCCCTTGCTAAAATATAGAGTTCTAATGGGACTTGAAACTGCAAAAGGATTTCACAAGAATAAGATCCAAAAAGCATTAAATTATATGATATTTGATTTAATATAATTAAATACCATATATCTTTTGATTATAATTATGTTATTATTATTATTATTATGGTTAAACATTTTCTTCTGCTTGAATTCCAGATCAACTTTGGCGCGCCCCGGAGCTTTTGCGCAATCACCATATGCACGGCAGTCAGAAGGGGGATATTTATGCGTTTGCCATCATAATGTACGAAATATTTAGTCGTAAGGGTCCGTTTGGACAAACCAACTTTGAACCAAAGCAAATTGTGGACTTAGTCAAGCAGCAGCCACTTAAAGGGGCAGAGCCGTTTCGGCCGGAGGTCGAGTCTATTATTGAGGCTGAGTCCTGTCCGGATTATGTGCTGGCCTGCATTAAGGACTGCTGGGCTGAGAATCCCGAAGATCGACCCGAGTTCAGTGCCATACGGTGAGTTGAAACTTGACAATTTCTAAGAGAGAGTAAGTAATTATGCTTTATTTGCATTCACAGCAATCGGTTGAAGAAGATGAGAGGTGGTAAAACCAAAAACATCATGGATCAGATGATGGAAATGATGGAGAAGTATGCCAATAACTTGGAGGACATTGTCACAGAGCGCACGCGTTTGCTGTGCGAGGAGAAAATGAAAACGGAGGATTTGCTACATCGCATGCTGCCCCAATCGGTGGCAGAGAAACTAACCATGGGCCAGGGTGTTGAACCCGTCTCCTATGATTTGGTAGGCCTAAACATAAACAAATAGAAGTTCGATAGCTCTCCTCCTGCCGACACTCTGGTTGTGTATAAACTGCAAATGCATTAATGCTTTGTCCGTGTCCATCTATCTTTCAGGTGACGATCTACTTTAGCGACATTGTGGGCTTCACAGCACTCTCCGCAGAGAGCACACCGTTGCAGGTGGTAAACTTTTTGAATGATCTCTACACGGTGTTCGATCGCATCATACGTGGCTATGATGTGTACAAGGTGGAGACCATAGGCGATGCCTACATGGTGGTAAGTGTTTCGATCAATCTCCATGGCGAATGTAGCATATGATCTCATGATTGTCGCGCTCTGCAGGTCTCTGGTCTGCCCATTAAGAACGGCGATCGGCATGCGGGTGAAATAGCGTCCATGGCACTGGATTTGCTGCATGCGGTCAAACAGCATCGCATTGCCCATAGACCCAACGAGACGCTGAAGCTACGCATTGGTATGCATACGGGTCCAGTCGTTGCAGGCGTCGTCGGTCTCACGATGCCACGGTATTGCCTCTTTGGGGATACGGTAAACACCGCCTCGCGCATGGAAAGCAACGGTGAGGCGCTTAAGATTCACATATCCAACAAGTGCAAACTGGCGCTAGATAAACTGGGCGGCTATATCACCGAGAAACGCGGCCTGGTCAGTATGAAGGGCAAGGGCGAGGTGGTCACCTGGTGGCTAACGGGCGCCAATGAGAAGGCCATACAAAAGAAGCCCGTGGATATGACGGATATGCCGCCGCCGCTGTTCAGTCGGCCGCGTAAAAGTCCCAAACTGAATCCGGACTCGAGACAGCCCAGTTTGCTGGCCATGCACAATTGCGGTACCGGATCGCGGCGCCAGAGCAGCGTGCCACGTCCGGCGGATGGAGAGTCCACGTACAGCCTGCAGGGCTCCGTTTATCAGGTGGCGCGTGAATCGCCGCGACTAACAGCGAGAAGAGAGCGGGAACGCGAACGGGAGCGAGAGCGAGATCGTGAACGACCCGCGCTGAATGGCCTGGGCGGCCATTTCGTTGGCGGCGCACTGCTGGAGTCCGCGCAGGCTTCGCTCAGCACGCTGAATCATTCCGATACAAATGAAACGAACTGTGATAGTAACGAAGCCACCATTCTCGATGGCGAACTGGAGTTAAACGGCGGCATCTGCGGCGGCGCTGCTGCCACTGCTGCTGCTGCTGCTGCTGCTGCTGCAGCTGGGCTGGTGCGCCAGCCAAATGCGCTGCACAAGCCGCTGGCCATGGTGCGGCCACATCGCATCATTAGTGCGGCACAGCTGCTGCCCCTGGATCAGGCCATTCCGGCATCTGCGGTTGCGGAGATGCTGCTGCGCGAGTCACGCTCGCTGGATCCGATGCCGCTGCAGCACCTGCGTAAGCGGCACGAACGCGGCAAGCTGCCACCCTCGAAGCTTTCCAAGAACAATTCACGTTCCCTGGACACGGGCGTCTCGCTGATTAGCGGCAATCCCAACGGCGAAACGGCCGCCGAGGAGGATGAAACGGATGATCTGTCGGCCAATCCGGTGGATGCCAATGACGGCTACGACGATGAGCTGGGCCTGCTCATGCGTCACGACAACGGGCAGCTGCCCATGCTGCGTTACTCGAGCAGCTTTGCCAATGCCCAGCCGAGCATTGTGCCCGCCGGCGCCAGCAGCAGGCGGCGCAGCAGCAACGTCTCCTCGAGCAGTTGTGCCAAGCACTTGAACAACAATTGCAACGGTGGCATGAACATTGAGGAGGATCTACACTCGCCGCTGCTGCAGCGCCAGGCCTCGCTCACAGCGCCGCCCGAGGAGCTGATGGCACACTCAAAGCGCTGGCACTCACTCGAGCACATGGAGCCGGGCGTCACCGGGCATGGCAACAGCGTCAGCTATGCTGCGGACATTGAACGCCGACACGATCAAGCCCATGATGGCGGTGGCGGGAGCGTAGGCGTTGGCGGCGTCAGCGGTGGCGGCTTGGATATGCATTCAGCTGCCAATCAGCGTGGCACACGCGGTGGCGGCAGCAGCAGCAGCAAAGTTGGCAACTGGGTGGTCAACTTTTTCAAGGGCAACGGCATGCGCAGCGTCGGCGCCAGCGGCGATTCCACACTGCGGCGCGTGGGCATCCTGCCCAGCAGTGTGCAGGGTGTGCGCAGCGGCTTTACCGACATGACAGCAGCGTCCACGGCACGAGATCGTGAGAGTATTGTATAGTTTGGCTGAGCGTTAGAACGAATGAAACGTCTAAAGGGGGGGAATGTTACTCAGGAACAGTGCGAGCAGGAAACGAATGTCTAAGGTATAAATAACATACATACATACACATCATTTATATAGATCTGTTTTGGCTTATATATGTATATTTGTTGTACGTTGATTGTCGTTTGTGTTTAAAGCTCTATATGCCTATAGATGTACGTATATACGCAGATACACATGCATACACATATATACATATGCATACACGCATGTACGCATGTAAGTATGTATGCATGTGTATCGAAAACAATTACTAAATGCATATACATATTAGAGTAGCCATTAAATAACAAATATAAAAAGAACCGTCTAGTCACAAGGTCTTCAGACTAGTTATTGATTTATAATAATAATGATAATAATAAATATTATAATACTTATATGCATACCTATTGAAGCATAAAGCGCGCACACACACACACACACACAGCCCATACCAGAAAAATCAAAATTTAATTCTCCAACTTGCGCAGCTAAAAAAAAAAAAAATTACCAACAATTTAAGCATAACTGAAATTAGTTATTTATATTTGCACAAGTAAAAAACAAAAAAACAATTAACAATATATATCTAAATATATAAAAGAAATGAAAATGTGTTTTTGCTAGTATGTAAATTAAGTGCGTGTGATTGTACGTAATTCTTAAGTCTAAACTATATACAATATTTAAATACACATATATATTATATAAATGTATATATGTGTGTGTTGATGCAAATATTGCATATATTGTTATATACTTATATACAAATATATATGTCTATGTATGTATGTGCATAATTTTATTAGCTATTTTAATTGATAATAAAAGAAATTGTGAGCAGAATTGCAGAACGCAGTGATCTGTTTTCTAGCTGTATCTATGTATATTTTTAAAAATATATAAAATTTGTTAAATTTGCCATATATAAATATAAACAAAACAAAAAAGCAACAAACAAACAAAATACCACAGCAATCATTTGAAAATGGATTCCCGGAATGTTTGACAAGCAACCGGATCCCAAATGCATGCCATTATCCAGATAAATGCAATCGGTACTCCTTCCAATTATATATCTTGCTAAGCTCGTAGAATTTGGCTGTCTTCACGCAGTAAATGGGCCACATTTTCATTAAATATTTCACTTTAATTTATTTTCGCAATATTGAAGTCTTCCTAGTTTAATTTCGAAATAAAACAAAAAAAAAAAATGTTATATTATATTATTAAAGACTACAAGCTTACTTAGTACAAACTATAATTTAAGCATTGTTGAAAAAGCCTCAACAAGTAAGCATCTTCTGTGGTATATTGTCCAAATTCCAAATTGCGATGCATCCAAACCGTAAACTAGTTTCGGAAAGTTCCAAATCAAAGTCGGAGCTCGGTACAGTGTCCAGGCTATTGACCAAAATCGGGAAAACTGATAGCAAATCACTCGCTTGGCCAATAGCCCGGCCAAATGGATCCAATGCACGACTCGTACACAAACAGACGTCAAACCAGTTTCTAAAAGTACCCTTGGCGGAGTTTTCGATACCTGTACAAAAGTTGCCCAAGAAAAAGAGAAATTATGAGATACAACGAAACAAAGGCGAATTTTTTCATATACTAATGAACAATAAAAACCTGGGTCAAGCGATTGATACAAGAAATACGAGAGCAACTATAACTATGAATGATTTAGATAATGTGTATTTAAAATATACAGAGCCCCGAGTGAAGCCACCAGCCAGAAAAAGCACACCAAATGGACAACTCATTAACCCACTACTGCTGAGTCCACACAGGTCTTCTTATGCAGCGAGGCATGTTGTGTCCCTCAAGAAACCTAAGCCAATGTTCACTTTCGGGCCCGACGATCCGGTTGATGAAGTGTCTAGAACTCCTGCATTAAGTATAATTGAAGTTTACAAGCTTCCAATGGTACCAAAAACCGAAAGGAAAAATTCAATCCCATATGTAGCCTTGAGCACCTCCATTGAGACAATGCTAAATGAAATAAGCGTTCCCAAGGCGAAGGACAAAAAGGATCATGCAAATACAATGGCAGAATCGAAAAAGGAAAAGCTACATCACTCAGAAGGCAAAACCCTTAAGAAAAATCATTTAATTAAAAAAAATGAAAGTAAATATGACTCTGGAAAGGTAAGGAAAAACCAGCGTGTAAGTGAAGGAAGAGATAAGAAATATGCAGTTAGTGAAGCCTCTAAGCAGCAAAATCCTGAAGAAGAAGAGGAAGAAGAATATACCTCTAATAAAAGGATTGTGAAGCGAAAAAGTCATCTTAGTCAGACGAATACATTCAATGCGATCAATGCGAAGAAGAACCGCCGTCGAAATAAAGATGCCGAAAAGACATTTAAAGATGGCAAAGCTAAGAAAATACGCGACAAAACAAAAGATCAACATAAAAAAATGACAACAGACAGAGGTGAAAGTCTGCATCCTCCAAGTAGAATATCAATGGAAGACAATATAAATGAAAGACGTTTCTCCAGTAATGGATCAGTCATGTCATCAGATGAAGGGGAAGAGCTTCTAACGAAAAGCATTGATGCGAAAAAGAGTAAAAGACAGAAAAAAAAGTTATTAGTAGACTGGGCTAAGGAGAGCATCATTTCGGATGCGAAACCGACTTATAGGAAGAGCAAAAAGTTATTAGACAGGGCTAAGGATAGCATCATTTCGGCAGATTTTCGGGATATGGCAAAACGCCACAAAAGGATTGAATTCAGACGTTCCAGACTACAGGATGTATTCGATTACTTTAAACGACATTACAAAAAGAAAAGAAAAAAGCATTTGAAAAAAAATACTTTATATGAAACATCTCTCATTAAAGAATCAATTGCAGCTGTGCTGGACTCACCCAAAAAACACAGCATGGCGGGATATGGCGGGATAAACGCATCTATTTTAAAACGAATACAACGGGATCGCATCAAATTGAAAAACTTTCAAAATAGTCTTAGGATGAACAAATCGAAAATCAATTACGTGCCACCTCCGAAAAGTCAGGAGAGAGGAGCCTCAGACAGTCGACAAACTACATTGGAGGATGTTCGATCAAAACGGCGTCAGGCAAATGAAAGAGTGAAGAGAGTCCAGAAACCTAACGTAGAGCAGACTCTCACTTCAGAGTCTATAAGTGATTACCATTACAGATATAACAAAATCAAGCAGTATATAGAAAGCGAAATGGATCTGCCCAATATTGAAAATATAAGCATTGATGATATTGATTTGAAGCAGTTTCTACACTATCCGTACAATTTGCAAGGCTCCGAAGTACAGGAAACTCCAAAACCCATAAAAACAATACGTAAATCACAATCGCCAGCTAAATCGATTGTAAAGAAAACCGAAGAGCCAGAATCGCCGAAACCTCCGGTTAAATGCGAGTGTCACATTTGTGTGGCCATCTATCGCAATCGGCCAATCGAGGACAATCCATTAATTGCCAAAATGAAGGAGGAGCTGAGGCGTCAAGAGCTGAAGGCGTATATCAAAAATATGCAAGTCTTTAAATCAGATCGCGATAGACCATACGATTCGCAATATAAATTCACAAGCGCTGGTCTCCTTCCCTATCGAAAGCCACAAGATAACTGCTTTTGTCAATATCCCCCTATATTCTGTAAGAAAAATGCTTATCTGCAGAGCTAGAGCAATGTCTGTACAGAATTTAGAGAGTTGTGTGAAGTTTATTCCATGAATAAACCCATTTTTATTTGCCACTTTAATTGTTAACAATCAATGTAACCTTTTTAAAATGTTGTCTGGGGTTTGAACCAGCACCTTTACTCAGATAATTGTACACGTTGTTTCATTTTCGATTTATTATTTCTGTTTATTTTCATGTAAGCTACGAACTAAGTACAGCTAATCGAAAATAATCACTAAATGAATATTAGATAAATAATTTTGACTAGATTTTGTTAAGTGAACGTGTTAAATGAATAATCACAAAAAGGCCGCAATCAAAAGTTTCTAATTATAAACAAAAGACCAGAGAGGCCAAAGCTTTGACTTAAATCTGAATGACTAGGTATTATATCTCACTTATATACATAATATATCATATAGCGATTAGTGTGAATTTAAACGATCCCTTAACCACTTGAGCTCTACTCGAATCTATAATTGAAAAGTCCTTTATTGGAATGAATGCCTAGATCTAGATTATAACTCAACGCTTGCATCTAACCTATTGGTGGTCCTATACTCGTATTGCTGATATTTGTATCTACCCGTAACAGATACTATCTTAAGTGAACTTGGATGTTGTTCTGCTCGCCCGTTCTATGTACAACAGCTGTCGAGGGGCTCTCTACACGGCAGCCTCTTTCGATTTCGTCCTTGTCACATTATCCAGCAGGGTCCTGGTCGCAGCGTGTGCCACCTGCTGCTTGAGCGTGGCTGCCTCGTAATCACTGCCGCTCTCGTCGGCAAACTGGATGTCGTCCAGGTGGAGGTATTCTTGCAGATCGCGTGACGACTTCTCCACAAGCGTTTCCTTCTCCACGTATGAACCGGTCATTGATTGGTTGGAATCCTGGTCCCCGTCCGTCTGCTTCAAGCTCTGATGCACGGCCACAATTTCCACTTCGGGCTTGGCTGCTTGGCTGGGACGGAGTGTCCCGGACTCGGACTCATAGCCGGAACTGACTGCATTCAATCTGAACTGCTGCCTGGCCTGACGGCGCTGCTTGCGGGACATATAGGGAGTTGGCTGCTTGGTTGTGCTTGGAGTGCTTCTATGGACTGTCTCGCTGGGCGATGTGGCCTTGGACTGGTGCTGGCTGCTGGGCAAGGAGCGCTCCTCGGAGCTAGGCGTATTATCCGTTGTGGTGGATTTGCTGCCCGGACACAAATAGTGACCATATTTGGGCATTTGCATTTCCTCAAATGCAGCATTCGTCTCCTCGGGCATTGACATGGGCTCTGGCGTCTTGTCTTCGTCCTCTCGCTCGGGTGTCTCCTCGAAGGGCGGTATCCAAATGCAATAAGCTGGATCCATGCCCAGATAGGAGCCGGGCGCCGCACCCGCATTGATCACATTGTAATCGTAATAGTCCAGCTCTAACTCCTCTTGGTTACCCAGCGAGAACTCGGAGCCAGGTCGCGCCAAGAGCTTCTTGCGATTCTGTTTCTCCTTGGACTCCTTCGGATTGCTGGTCGTCCGTATGGTGGCCGTGCTGACCACGCTCGCTGCGGGCGAGTAGCATCCCTGCAATTGAACATACACGGAGCTTTGTTAGCTCCGATCAAAACCCACTCAAGTGAACACTTACATTGGTTAAGGAGGTGCTAACACTGCGTGATCCCATGCGACCCAGGCACAGCGAACCGGAGCCGGAGTTCAGAGATCCGGCGTCGCGCAGACTCTCGTCCAGACGGGAGCTGAGCAGCTTCAGAGTGACCGCATCATAGCGATCCGAGTACTTGCTCAGCCTGTGGCTGTTCAGAGGTGGACTATTGCACAGGGAGCTCATGCCCGACGAGATGATGGACTCCGAGTCCTTGGCACTGTCCTTACAACTCAGTGGCTCTGCCGGAGAATGCGTGCTAGTCTCCTTTTTACCCTCATCGAGGCGCTGATCCAACTTCAGCTCCAGCTCCAGCTCCGGCTCGACCGAGGACGGGGAGCCAACTGCGGGACTGCGACTGTCGGTAGCTGGTGAGAGCGACGTCAACGAGGCGTGTTCATTGCGCAGAGTCATCATGGATGCGGTACTACCAAATGCCGGCACTTCCTCTCTGCAGGCATAATAGCTAATAAGAAACCTACTTGGACTTTGGGCAAGACTCACCGCTTGACCATTTGTTCGTCCTCCTTGAACTCGGTCTCGTGGCTCACGTTCTCGACATCGGCGCTCTCGCGCAGTATGGAGTGCCGCAGCTGACGTTTGGGTCGCAGTTTCACCAGGTAGATCACCTCTGAGAGCAGCGTGGTCGTCGAAAGAGCCCGTGATGGCGGTCCGTGCAGCGAGCTCAAGGAGGCTCGCGGTGTGTGCAGCTGCGAGCCCTCGTCCTGTCGACGTGCCACTGCCAGGTGATACTTCCGATACCGTACCACGTACTGAGCACCTGTAGAGTCGAATGACACGTGATACCCATTGAAAATGTGTACATAATTTAGCAGGCACAAAGATTTAGCAGGCAGCAGAACTCAACTGCGGCCAAATAAAGCTTATGTGTACTTAAACACGAGCTTGCTGGATCGAGCCTTGTCTGTCTGTCAATCAGTCTGTCTTTCAGTCTAATCTGTTTGTCTATCCGTAAATTTGACAAAGTTCCTGTTTCGCCCCGTGTGGTTGGCGGGCATTAGAATACCACCACAGCATGTCACCGCTTGTCGTATGAGGCGACTAAAAGAGACAGCTTTTTTTTAAGTCGAAGTGAGCAGTTCTGACTGCTCATTGGTGTAGAACTCCTTGTCAATGACTTTGAAGATTTTGAACATTTCCAACGTTATGTATCCTGGGTAGCTCAGGGACATTTCCATCCTTTACTACCCCAACTAGCTTTCTTCCTGATATATTAAGAGTTCTCTCCCTAGCTATTTCCAATTTAATAAATACCCTTAAATACCCTTATACCATACTTGACTGACCTAAAAGCGCACTTATTATTATTATGATGGTGGCAAAGACCATGGCGCTCAAATGGACCAGGGTGAACCGCATCCTGGACAGAGACTTCTTTTGCAGGTGGCTGCGACTCTTGGCAGATAGACGCGTTGCCGCCAGAACCGTGCTGGCATTGCTCACATTTCTGGATCCTAGAAGAGCAGACGGGCATTAATTTTATTTTCCATAGACATTCGATTTGCAGCTACCTAAGGGCTTAACGTTGGCCATGAAGCCGCCGGTGCAGGACGCAGCATCGTATCCCCCACTGGATGTTCCATTTGCTGTCATGTCGCCCGAAAAAAACTCGACCAGCAGCTGTGCGCCACTCGACTCCGTCGCCAACGGCAGCCCAATATGACCGGCAGCTTCAGCAGCGGTTCGTCTAGTGGCAGCATCACCATTGAGCTCCAGCAGCAGGGTGGAGGAGAGCGAGGGTCCGTCGCGCACCTTTATGTACTGCGTGCCACATGGTAGACGCAGAAAGCTGAGCTGCAGTGAAATGGTTGCCTCGCCATCGACCTGTCCAGAGGGATATGGTTAATGCCAGCTGGGGATTGGACCATCTTCTCCTTACCTGGATTAGCCAAAAGGAGCGTCCGGGACAGCTTTGTGTGGCGCCGGCAATTATGCGCTTGGGCTTGGATGAACCAAGGTGTACAATGCAGCCACAGCGGCAGCCAGGACCGATTTCTTGATGAACTTCGGTTACATTCGACTTGGTCAGGATGCTGCCGCTTGTTTCGTAGATGCAGTCCCAGGTATCCGCAATGCTCTTATTACATTTTTCCGTTTGTACCGATTGACCCTAAAGGGAGCAGAAAGAAAAACAAGTTGTTATTGTTGGAAAAAATGGTGTCATTCTTGCGTTTTCTTGTCATTAATGGAATCTCTTGGAAAGGCCGGATTTTGAGTGTCTATACCCTTTATTTAATTGTTCAGCCGAAACAAAATATAACAATCATTGAATGCATGCTCTTGTGTTTAGTAGAACAGATTGATCTCAAACTCATCCTCCTCATCCATTTCCTCAGTCTCGGCTGTTCCGGACAGGACCTCAGTGGCTGTCATGCTCTGCACGGACTTGGTTTCCGCCAATTTGATGACTTCCTCGGGTACTGGCTTGGCCAAAGGTATGGGGGCAGGCGGCGGGGCGCTGCCCTCACTGCTGGCCTTCTTCACAGAGACGGAGCTGCTGGAACCTTCGGGCTCCTCGAGCGGTTCCTCCTCCATCTCAATGACATCATCCTCACGCGACGAAGACACGTAGAGGGTGGTGCCGAATTCGACATCAATTATAGATACGCGATCGTCGACCTTTTCGGCAGCCTTATCCTTGACCTGACCCTTTAGCAGACAGTCTGGGAGCTGCACCTGCAGATCGGGTAAATGTTGGACCACCTCCTTCTCGAATAGATCGCAGACAGCCGGCTTGGGCTTGTGTGGCATAAAGCCCATTTTGCCCGGTGTATACAAGGACGATGTGACGGTACTGATGGTCTCCACGGACGGCGTACGTGGCAGCTCGGCGGAATGGGAGCTAACGATGTTCATCAGCGTGGACAGCAGATCGATGCGCGCCAGTTTGTTCATGGCAACCGCTTCCTCCCTGACCTCCTCGATGACACTGGGCTCATCGACGTTGGCCTCCTCCAGTCGCTCCGGGAACAGCTTGATGCACTGCTGGCTAACGATGGCGTCGCGCACAGTCACCTTGATCTCCTGTATAATGCCGCGCAGACGTAATATCTCGCCCTCATGCTGGTCATGCACCGCCTCCAGATGACGCTTCTCCATCGTCATGTTCTCTACGCGCCGGCACAGGGATTTGATTTTAGCGCCGGCATCCTTGTTCTTGGCATCCACGAGCTTATCGGCCTCCTGCTGCTCCTCATAGGCCCGGCGATACTGCAGCGCCTCCACGTACTTGCACTTGAGCCTCTCATAGTTGTTGGTCAGGCTCTCGATGATCTTGATCTTGTTGATGGAATTGCGTACCAATTCGTTTTTGATCTGGTCCAGGGCGCTGTATTGCTCCATGATTTCTTTGTGCTTCTCCTTTTGGTTATTGTACTGCTGCTGTAGCTTGATCTGGGACATCACCAGCAGGTCGATCTCCTTCTGGAGGGCAATGTTCTCGCGTATGAGCCGGCGTGTGTAGCCGGCATTGCGAATCTCACTGGAGCGGGTAAAGTCTTCGGATACCTGAAGCAGCTTGGCCTCGACCTCCTTCTTTAGCGCATCCTTCTCCACAACAGCGGCCTGTTCCATATTATAGAGCGCCTCCTTGTGTGATTTTTCCTTTTCTCTCATCTCAACATCCTGATCATCAAACTTGGCCAGGAGTATATCGCGTTGTGTGCGAAACTCATCCAAGGAGTTCAGCTTGCCGTTGAGCAGCTTTATTTCCGAGGTAAGCTGGTCATGCATCGCCTTATATTTGCCCTCCAGATCGGCAATTTTCTCCTGAGCCGCTTTATTCTCCTCGTTGCGTACCTTTGACACCTCCACGAGTCGTTCTTCCAGCTCGGTTATGGAATTATTGCGCTCCGCCAGCGTGCGCTCCAAATGGGCGGCCACATCGGTTCGGTCATGATCAACATCCTGCAGCTTGGACGTTAGAATGACATTTGACTCATCCAAGCTGGCCAAATGGGAACGCAGGCGGGCTAGCTTCTGGTTCAAATCGGTAATTTGCAGCTCATAGAAAGTGCGATCCACCTGTGTCAATTTGTTTAGTTCCGTGGACTTTCCCTTGCCTTTCGCCGCCTTTTTAGCTTTTGGCGGCATTTTGCGGTATTTCTTTCAAAAACGCTCCCTCTTCAATTGTGTATTCAATTTTGTGCTTACAAAACAATATTTCAAACAATTACTATATTTGATTTACACATTATGTTCGTTGACTTTGTGAAATTCCCCCATAAACAAAACCTAGTCGCACGGTTGTCAAGGCAAAAAGCTTGCTGCCAAATTGTTTCGATGGATGGCAACCTACGCTAAAAGCTTTGGTTGCCAAGCAAATTGTCTTTAACCAAGTTTCAAGTTAACCAAAGGCATCAAAACTTTGACACTATAAAATCTGTCATTATACTTAAAACATCTCCTGCACAATAGTTGCCAACAATAATGTGAAAAGTAAAGCAGAAGCAATTCCGTAAATGTGCATTCTTTTCGAATCCAGGTGTAACAACCGCCGCATCGTTTTCCCAGTGGATAATGAAGTGCAGCCGGCAGCAAACAAAGGGCCAAAAACAAAGGTGTACTGGAGCACTTCATTGTGTGTAAGAAGTAGTTACTTATTTTAGTCAGAGACATGAAGTCTCTCAATAAAAAACTTGCTGCTGCATAAACTCCAGAGTGGCCCGAATAACATAACAACAGAAAAGCTTGTTATCAAAAATGTATCTTCTTTTAATTTATAATCTTAAGCCCATGACAAATTCATTTATGCATTTGTTTTATATGTTGATAACTTTGCATAGTTCGCAGAGCAGAAAAAGAGGGGGGGGGAAAACAAAACAACTACAAAACTTAGAAAGGGTGTTTCCGGTCGCCCTCGGGCAACGTTGTAAATTTGCCAACGCAATCTGGAGCAAGTGTCGCAATATTGTAACACTCTCCGCCAGACACACAGCACAACAAAAACATGGCCGCCAGCAAGGGTTCTCTCCGCCAGCCCCACCTGCCCCCACCATGCCCACATTTACATTCGTTTTCCTTTATTTTTTCGTCGACAAAATGGGGGCTTGGGCTGGCTTCTAGTTGTGGATACCAAGGCAAGAATGAACTGAATCATGAACCCAACTGTTTGCCAGACTTGATACAAACATAATAGTACTTCTGTGCGAGTGTGTGCGAGTGTGTGTGTGTGCGTACGTGTTCTTAAATAAATTGTGTCTACACGATTTATAGACGGAGCTAAAAAGCAAAAGTTTCTAGCGAAAGTTCGACACGTATCCAAATTGTGGAGTACACCAAAGAGGTTTAGTTTTAGTTAAAGCGTTTAGAGATACAAAAATAAAAAAACAAGTGGAAAACTTTAGCGAAGATTAGATGAAATTAATGGCTCCAATGGATAATGTTCAAAATGCTTGAATAATTCGCGGATATTTATATAATACACAACAGATGAATTTGAACCGACGACTCGCTGCTTGTTAGTCCGATTCCTCATTTATGGTTTTTATACAAACTTGATCACAATTTTTCTTCACTTGAAAACATCTCAAAGGAAGTTTCTGGAAAGATGTCACCTACCTATTTACCTAACCTATTTATATGTATATATATTAAACTGGACTTAAATACAAACCTCGCAGAATTTGGCACCGTAACGCGGCGGCGGCGAATCACAGAATCGATAGCGATTGCGAGTGCCTCCCAGGCAATTTGTTGAGCACGGTGTCCACTCGCTCCAAGCACCCCAGCCGCCAGTATCGGAATCTGTGAAGCAGTTGAGAAGATTAATGAAAACACGCGTGCAAGCCAAAAGCAGCTTAGCAGCCCATTTTCATGTGTGCCTGGTCAAGCTAATGCTAATTGGCTCGCAGTCAGCTTTTATTTGGGTTTCTCAGGTTATACGCTGTCGCAGGTGCATAAAAGGTGTGCTGAACGGAAGGGAAGAGAGTGGGAGGCTAGAGCTTATCTTACCACTGACGGGCAGTGTGGGCACACAGTCCATGCGCACATCCGCAACGGCGCCGGAAATGGCCTGGCTAACGTAGACGAAGCAGTACTCCACGTACTTCTCGGAGAACAGGTCACAGCTGAAGTAGAGAGAGTGCTGGCTCTTGACGACACGCTGCTCGGCGACGTAGTGCAGCGAGGTGGGCGGCTTGAGGGAGGCGACATCTGCACGCAGCTTGGCATAGAGACGCACTCGATCACCCTGCTCCAGTATGCAGCCGGGGTATTCGTAGAGGACGCCCACACCGGAATGCGGATCGCAGGGAAAGATGCTGCGCGCATACACATTGAACACAAACTCATCGCTCCAGTCCACGCTGAGCATACGCCGCGTGGTTGGCACGTTCAGGGCTGTGATCATGGGCCGCAGTTGGACGGCATAGTTGCCGGCCAGGCCAAATAGTTCGCAGCCCAGCTCGACGGTCTTGAACTTGGGAAAGCCGTGCACCTGCTCCGCAAAGAGCACGCTCGACTTGGACACATTGGCAATATTGTAGGCGCAGGTGCGCTCCTTGCCGCAGTAGACCAGCTCCAGCCAGAACTCTGGCAGCGCAGGTTGCCCCGAGCCGTGCAAGGCACGCTCACAGTTGACCTCCGGAAAGCGTAGGGTGACCTTCACGGGCGCCCTGGGATACGTGCGCAAGGTCACGGGACTGACCAGCATCTCAGCACTGGGCCATCGCACGTCTAGAGTCTGCAGCAAACGCTCATCCTGCGCTGGCATCAAGGTGGTTGTCGTCAACGTTTCTGATGCATGTCCAACTGGGTCACTGCGATTGAGGGTCGTCTTTAGGTTTCGGACCACCTGCATCTCGTAGAGGCCGCCACGCATAAAGGTCTGGCACGGCACTGTCACCTGTGTGATGTTCTGACGCGGATCCGGAAAGAGTGGAATATTCTGGACAACCTCCTTGCGCCTGCGCTGCAGCACCAACTGGTTGGTCCTGTTGCTCTGGCCAGTGCCATTCGAAGCCTGCAGCTCCCCCTCAGCTGTCGCCGCATCATTAATGATTTTGCTAATGACTAAAGTGCTCATTATGGTGTTCACCATGCCCGTTCCCGTTCCCGTGCCCGAGCCCGTTCCCGCTTGCAATCCTGTGCCCGCGCCGGGGCTGTCAGTGCTCAAGTGGGCGTCAACATACCCGTCTGTGATATTGTGATTTTGAGGCTGGAGCCGTGTTGTGTTGGTGCCACCAACCCGTGCCTCGTCCTCCTCGCCGCTGAACTGTATCTGCACATGCAGGTCGCCGCTGAGTGCAGTGAATGTGCTCGGGGACATCAGGCGACCCCTCCGTACCGCCAGCACGTGACCTTTTGTTGAATTCGAGCCAAGTCGTGGCACAACAGAGGCACAAACGAACAAATTAATCACCACATGAAAAGTACAGAAAGATAAGAATTATGCACAAGTCTTTGTAATTTATTTCTTATTGTCTGACAGGAGTCAGGAGTTGCTTTGCCGCCGCCCTCGAAGCGCTCAAACCAAATTCCCGTCCCCCTTTGACGCCTCTTTGTTGTGATATTAAGTGCTCCCCAGTTGGCATAGGCAAAACCTCTTATAACCGGATTTCACAGCCAGAACACTCCATTCAGAATTGTTGTCAGATTCTTATAGGTGAATGTGTCATCCCAAAGAATTGGAAGGAACCGAATGCCCTTAATATCCAGCTGTATATTGATTTATACGAAGTGGCATCTTATGAAATAACAGCATACAATTAAAATGTGATTGATGCCTATGAAAACATACTCCACTTTACAAATTGCCGTCCGCTTCGACTTGAGTTATTGCCTTTTGGGCCACTCTCGAGGGGCTAGCCTCGCCGCACAGCGCACTTTAAAGTAGGACTCTGAATGTGTCTCTAGCTTGTGACCAAATAAATCGGTGTTCCGGTCGCTATCACAACAGACCGCGAGCCCATGAGGAACCAGACCCAAGCGACTGGTGAGTTACTGGAAGGATAACAAGTCACACCCAAGTCTCCTTAAACTTTCATGCATGTTATTTCCGAGCTATAAAAAGTTACACTTCACTTCTTTTATGATTCAAACATTAATCGAATTAATCTATTTGGAAAACAAGCAAACAGACCAAGAGTGACAGTGATTCAATTAAGACATGTGGCTGAATTAATTGAGTGAGCTGCTATTTGATGACTGTTCGAGTTGACAGATAACCAAACTTCGAGGGGTTACACGGGGAACCCCATTTAATTCCAACTGTTAAGACAACTTGAAAACTGAAAACTGGTTTAATTGCTGGCTAAACGGATTGTTGATGGAAATAAGTTTCAGTAGCTGCTATGTAAAAGTTTCTACAGTGAATACTCTTCTACCATACTATTTGGACACTTCTCCACCCCAGCGAGTCTTCACTGTATTACGGATACGGACTGTTTCATAACTTTAGTTATGTTTTACTTAACTAAGACAACGACTAGTCGAAGCTAGTTGTTCTTTCATAAATCAGTCTTTAGATAAGTAGAGTAGAGGCACTTTCTCTGCCCATTCCCAACTGAGCGAATAACTCAGCTCATAATTCAGTTGGGAACAAAGAGAGCTGAAAGTAATGCTAGAACAAATTACGCTTTAGTTTATGATAGATGTAGGCGAAACTCGGGCTGAGAAAAGAGACGAAAAGAAAAGCCGACAGACACACTTAAGCAAGCAGAGGGAAATTAAAGATTCAGACATCCATTTGCCTTGGCACGGCAACTGTCACTCACTTGTGCAGCAGAACAGCAGGAACATTATTGATGGTATCATAATCTTCCACTTGACTACTGATATGAGGTCTGATGCTGACGTGCCAACTGTCTTCTTCCGTTTTCGATTCGTTGCCATTTTCCTTCTGGTACGCTTCCTTCTTGCCATTGTCGACGTCTTGGAGGCCACTGCTCTGCTCCTTCTCTATATAGACGGTGTCTTGGGTGGATTTGGGTGCGACGAATTGAGCCGTTATTGTTGTGGCTCAGTTGAGCGCCCACCCAGTGGGCGGCGCAGTTTTTTCAACCCGGCTCTGTTATTTATTGTGTATTGTGTTAGATATTTTTTCTTCTGCCTGCTGGTCGATTAGAGATTTTCCATTAGAACTTAGTGCCAACATTCGAACATCTGAAATTGCCAAAAAAAAATTAACGTTAAACCAAACCCAACAATGGACAAGGTAATTGCAGCAAGCTATGTTCAGATTAAAGCATTTTTGTGTTAATAATTCAATTTACAAAAAAAAATAGCAAGGACTAAACTACACTGACGAAAATAATGGCTGTATTATATTTGTGTGTGTTATTTATTGTTATCGCTGTGTGCTTTCTGTTTTCTTATATTTATGGCTTCTTTTATAGCAGGACTCAACTTTTCAGACAAACTTAACGTTCTAAGAAACCTTAATAAAATATAAAAAAAATACATATAAAATATATTAGGAAATTGTAGTTATATATATATACATCTAGACGCCGAACTATAATTCCCAGCAATTCTCCATTTTTTTTTTAAAAACCACAATACCATTTGCAAGCCTTTAAAACTAAATGCTTTATAGGTGATTTGTGAAGTCGACTGTCATTGAGCTGTGTCCGGTCATTAATTACTATCGCGTGCGTATGTTCATTTTCTCAAATGTTTTGGCCTATCTGTTTAGGCACCAGTCATCTCTCAGATGGCCTAATTTGGTTTTAGCGACCACCTAATGCGTGTTGGTCCAGTCGGGCACACGTGCTACGGGGTGATATTTCCACATGCCCAGCTCGCGACGGCCTCAAGGGGGATGATAATGAAGCCCGACGACAGCAGCAGGATATTTGAAAATATTCGGGAATTTCAACAATTTGTAGCTACAGCAGCTGAGTGTATACGGCTTCATTATAACGCCTTGGGCAAGCAGAATTTAAAAAAAAAAAAGTAATGTAGGAAATCGATGTTTGTTATCGAAATAACAGTATAAGAGAATTGAAGGCAAGACGGTGTATGACAACCGTTAAAACTCTTTTTCACTCTAAACTCTAGTCCTGCATGCCCACAAATAGCATATGGGAACGAAAACAAGACAAAACTATGCAGACCTTAAACCCACTAAAGTTTTCCGATTAACGGTCAATCGATATCAATTAAGTGCACATGGCTCTGGTCACACTGTGTGCGTTGTGTGTGTGAAAGCTGCATGCAAAATGTTTCTAGTGAAAGTCGTAAATTTACAATCAATTGCACATTTTACACTACCCAGTTGCCAAATCTCGCACTGTGGCACCCGCCCTGCACCACCATCATCATAAATATTGATAAAACACAGGGACAAGGACGCTGCCGTAAATCTGTCTTTAATGTGCGACATGGGGAACCCCCTCCCAAAAGAGACAAACTATTAACTGCACTGTGCTCGGCCGAGTCCTGTGAACCGCCCATCGCCGTAGGATGTGTATCTGCATCCTAATACTGACCGAGAGCAAAACTGTCGCAGCATTGAAAATCAAAGCGAAGGCGACTGCAAAATTGCCAGTGGTGCCAAGCCTTGTGTTGTTGCTGTTGCCATTGTTGTTGTTGTCGTGTTTGCGAGGGCAGTTCGATAGGCAAAATGTCAATGCCCCTGCATGGCCAGTTGGCGTGTGTCGTGCGGCGGTGGCTCGCGGACGCGTTGCCGCCCTTCGCCTTACTCGATTATACTTTGTGCCTCGAGTTTAACGTGTTATGCACATTTTGCGTCTGTGTGTTTGTGTGTGTTGTGCGGGGGTGGCATTTTCCCGAGTGCTGAAATGCGGCAAAAGGCAACCGCATAAAGGAAAAAGAAAAAAAAAAAAAAATAAAAGGGAAACGTACGTTTCAAAAATTCGTATTCAAACATTTACACGCTCTGTTTACCTCTAATCAGTAGATAGCATTGAAAAGTCCATTTGCTAGCCCACATGCGATATCCCCTTTCATTTTCATGACAAAATGTAAATATTTAAAATGCTTACATCCCTAATGGATTTTATAGCGTTATTATGTCATCAATGCGGCTTATGTGATTAAAGTAAGCTGCGCTGCAAATTTATAATCAAATAGTGAATTTAATTATCGCCCTACTACGCGATTCTCATAGAAGCAAGTAAGCCTCGCAGGTTTTCACGCTTTGATTACAAGTGTTTTGTGTATGTAATATGTGTGTGTATTCATGCTTTCACTCTGGCTTTCATTTTAATCCTCTTGCATTTTCTCTTCCTCTCTTCTCCTGCTCCTACTCTGTTCCGCTCTACATTTCCCCTGATATGTGCATTTTTGACTTAGCACAAATTTGCGTACATATTTACATATAAATAACAATTTATCTTAAGTATTTGTAGACTTGAGCACAATTCACCTTTTAGTATATCATATAACAATATATATACTTCCCCTTTTGTGTGTCTGTCCCATGGCTTAACCTTAAACTACATTTCCAAGCTTTAAATAGGACTAGTTACTCGGCACAGTGACAGCTGCAGGTGTAGGAACGAGGGCAAGTAGCACTTTTCGCCCCTCAAGGGGAGCTTATTTATAAGTAAACATAACAAAACCACACTTGACCCAAGCCAAAAGCAACTGAATAATATGTGTAGCTAGTGAAAGCAGCTGACTAAAATATTACGCATACGCCGTGGTGCTTGCTCTGGCTTAAGCATAAGCAGCTTCTCAAACCTCACCCATTGTAGTTTTAACTGACTTAAGCTAACAGATTACTTGGGGGATTGGCACTTGCATTGATATCAAATTATCAACTGTTTCCGTGACAATGACCCGTACACACACACACACACACACACACACGTACGTACGTCCCTGCCAGACCCATTCATTTTAATTACAGTTGCTTTTAAGTTTCGTTCCATGTGGTTTTGACGTGCATTCAGTTGTGAAACAAATGGGTGCGAGTGCAACACAAATTATCGGCAAATTATGTGGCACTGGATTTTCCACAACAGCAGCCATGTCGGAAAAGCTTCCACTCCGCAAAGCGATTGACATTGAAGGACGAGAAGCTGAGAGCGAGTACGAGTACCAGATGAGGTGCCAGTGAATCTCCCCCACCTGTCTGGCTGGTTGTCGACAGCTAAGCACTTCCGCTGCTTAGTTAGGGCAACATCCACACACTTTGCTCCCATATCAAAAGTAAGTAAGAGTCCCACGTCAAGAGGAGGCATATTAAAATAGCTGTGCGAATGCAACTGACACGCCCATACAGCACCGCCCACAGTGCACTTCGCATCGCCGCCAACTAGTTCAACGGTTCAACTTATTCGTCGCAATTTTCTGCTTTCCACTTTATGTAGCTGTCGCCATATCACGGCTGCAGGTAGGAGCCAAAGTTGGCTCCAACTGAGGTCCATTTAAGCCAACTCAGACGGCTAAAGGGTGGGCTGCCATATGGAAATATAAATAAGCATAAAATGAAAGGAGAAAAAAAAAGCAACAAATGCGAACATTTACAATCTACTATGTACATTCTATGCACATATGTGTGGCCAGACAGCCGCAGGCGAATGCTTGGATTGCATGCAAGCGGACACTGAAAGGACTCATTCGACTCATTCTGTTGTTGCCCCCTCCCCAAACCCCAGCTGGGCGGGCGGGCGAGCTCCTTGGGCTACCTTTGGCTCAGGCTTTATGAGTTCGCCGCTCAACTACTCAATATTTGAGTAGCGACAGCAGTTGGCAAATCAACAACTTGTACGTTCGACACTCTGTTTATGTCAGGGGCGTAGTCAGGCAATTTATAGCAGGGCAGCTTTCTCAAGGGATAATGAACAAAAGGTTGGGTATCATATTTCAGACACTTTATAAAAACTTCATAAAACATAACTTAATAAGCTCAAATATTTTATACATTCTTTTCCTAAGATTTTTAAGGACCCCTTTATTTATGTGAACTACGCCACTGAGTTCAAAAGACAACGTCCAGGATCCCATTTGAAACAAGTGACTGTACTTGGATAGTGGCTACAAGAACATATTTCCAGCACAAGTGAGCATACGATTACATTGTTATTGCCGTTTCAGCTCTCGGATGTGCAGTCAGGTCCTTTTCAAAGGATAATACATCGGAATCTGCAGCCGTCCCACCTAGGTATTATGTGGAGGCATTATGTGGGGTATCTTAAGCCTTCTATCGATGAACGCACAAAGCGTTTGCAATTAATTAAATTATTTGGAGAGATGCACACAGTTGGATGTTTCAGTTTCAGTTTGAGGTTTTAGTTCATTCACTAATATGTAATTTACAGATTAATTTATGCTCACAGGCTCTACACTTCCACTAAGTGCGGAAGAGCAATCGATTTTTGAAAAATATGAAACGCAGTAAAAAAAGAAAACTCCCGCTTTTGACAACGATAAAAAACTGAAATTGAATTGCGGTTAAGCGGGGATGAAACTATGCGAAATAAGTAGGCCAACAGCGAAAAAAAAAACTACTTTAAGAACTCGATGAGACGACAAAAACAACCGTCACATCAGAGATTCATATTTGTCTTGCGAACGGAATCCCTTCAAGCGACGCGTCCCCATGGGCTGATGGGAGGGGCAACATCTAAGTGATTGTTATGCTCGATATCGAATACATAACATGCTTATGTATGTTTATTTATTTAGATTTATGCCAATAGTAGACCAACTTCATTAGATGCCATTGACAGCCAAACAGCTGGACGTATGTGTGTTACATAGGCATATTCCCCTTATATGTGCTGACTTGTCGATTTTTAAAGCCGACTTTTTGGCGCCAGAGAATGGATTTCCATTAAATCAAAAATGTCGCGACATTGACAGGCGGACGAAAGCAATATAATAAATAATACGATTTCGATTTCTTTACTTTACACTTAAATTATTTTGTTGTAAAATTTGCATAATTTGAAAATATTTATTTTATAATTTCCCTTAATAGCCAAACATGCCTTCAATTAAAAGTACGCTTAATATATGCAAATCATTTGTGGTGCTCATAGCAAGAGCACTCTTGTATTTGTGTGTGAACGACTTTTAAATATCCTTACATATTAATAAAATGCATTCTATTATTTCTGAAGTGTATAAAAACACATTTCACTTGATTTCGTTCAACAGACAAATGGCAAATGAGTGTGGACATTCCGTTTTCCTCTCATTAAATTCGTGCAAGCTCATGAATAAAATTATGAAATATTTAAATATTGTTTCTACAAGTGATTGGGACAAGCCAAAAGTAATCAGCCGAATGATCATTAACTTGCCGTCCGGGCAATCGCCGCCAGCTGATGTTATTTGGCCGTAAACTTTGCGGCGGATAAATCTAATTTGAATACGCGCCGAAATGTGCGCCGCCAACAGACACATCATAGACGGCACCTTCTTATCAACACAACACCTTAGAGACGGGCCCAGCCTCTGGGCTACTCATAAATAAGGAGTGGGTGAATGGGTGAAAAAGGCGGAAGTCAAGCAAATGAGCTTGAAACCAAGGTGAGCCAGGAAACAACAACAACAACAACAGCTCAGCACCTGGCAGGAGTCGAGAGCAGCAGTTGGAGGGAGTTGGAAGGGAGTTGGAGGGAGCACAGTGAGTACGATTTATGTTTGTGCCGTCGACTGGCACCAGAATTAAATTAAATTTTTCTGCACACATATATTGTAATGAAATATTTGATTGAATTTTATTGCTGTCGAATTTATGACACACATGTAAACTGAATATTTGATTTTCGCGAAATTCCATGTGTGTAAACAGAGAAAGGACTTAAGCGAAGCTATTATCCTGTAAATAATGTGCGAGGCAACGAATTTTTCAGATTATTGTCAGCTGAACTGAGCGAAGACAATTTTGTTTAACTCAGATTCGTAGCTAATATTATTTCTTTAAATTCCAGTCTCTTATGACAGAGAATTTGATCTTATCCTTGACTTCGTGCTGAGTTTTTTTATATACAAATATATGCCCAAGGCTAGTTTTCTGGTTCTTAGCAGAGCAGATATGTTATCTCGTATATATTTTTATTTTTATTTATTGTGTGTTTTCTGTAAAGAAAGCTGTCACAAAAACTTGATTTTCTCAAAATACAAATAGTTGTGAATTGCTTTCAGCATAATGCTTAAAGTTCCCTTTCAACTCGAGTGTAAACTAAAAACTTATGCAATTAAATACACTGCAAGTTCTTCAAGTGGAAACGAAAACCGCCTGCAAAGTGAGCAAAAGCAAAAACTTATTCGAGCTAAATGTGAAATTATTATATCAAGAAAATAACCTCCATAGAAAAGTGCTTATTTAGTTAGTTGGCGACGGAACAGACTTTCAGGCAGACTTCCAGCAGAGCCGCGCGCAAATGTAGCCTTAATTTAGTTGAAGTTGAAATTACAATTGAATGCAAAACGCACTGAAGCCTTTTAAAACATTGTTCCCTCAAGTACTTGAATGCTGTTATACGATACGCTTACAAAAATGAAAGCATTTATATATGTATACACACCATATATACGGGCTGAAAGGGGGCAGCTCTCTACATGGGCCATGAAGCCCTGCGAGACAAAGTGAATTGTTAGCTTAACAAATTACAAATCCAATGCTCCTGGTTAAGCCAAACTTTTGAGGGATTTGCCTTTGCCTAGGAGGTCAACAAAAAAAAAAAATCAGCCTAACTTTACACTCTTTTGTGTTTGGTTTTTAGTCTGGACTAGAGATGGCTGCGTGTCCTTGTCGGATGGAATTTATATGTACCTGTAATAGGATTATTAAGTCAAAGTTGTGCTAAGTGAAAATTCTGAGTGAATTCTTAAACATAGTTTAGTGTTTCTGTGGTTTTTGTTATATAAAAAAAAACCCGACTCTCTCTCGAAGTAAGCTTCTCAGCTAGAAAAACCAATTACTTTTTTATAAATAATCCGCAACCTTTTTTACACGCTGTCGGGCTGGAGGAAAAGCATTTATAATTTGCAAACTCTGCAGGATGACAAGGATAGTTTAAACTTTAAACACATTTACTGACACAGTATGCTCATTTTTTTTTTTTTCTTTCAACTTAGTTGGGTCGCCGCCTGGCAACCTGACGCAAGAATTTTCTGCACTTTTTAATAGTTTCTCATTTGCAAACCACTAAAAAGTTTTATGTGTTGCTCTTTTAAATTGTTTCACGTTGGTTGAGCTTACATAATGCTATAACAATTTCTGGCCATTTTCCGGCTTATGTGCAATTTTTACTTATTACGCAAATTTTGCCCGCCATATACCATATCTAGCTTGTGTAAAAATGCCTAATATTAATATAATAGCTGCATTAATACCCATTGCATTGTGCTCCTTCCGACTGTGGTGCATATGTTTGAACTCTCGCCCTGTCTATTGCGTGTCATCGTTACATTATTTTCCTACCTCACGACGTGTGTGCATTATGTGGCTTTCTTCGCCGGTTTCATTCATTTGGCCAACCCTCGACTAAGGTCGGCCAGGAGTTCATTTGTACATTTGCTGTCAAAAGAAAGGCATACAAGAAAAATGGTGTTTTTCCTTTTCAATGAACTCTCTGGATTTTCTTTTGTTCGACCTGCCTATTAAGCTGTCCGGCCTCTGTTCAGTTCTGACATGTATCACATCTCAGATATGCCATATCATGTGCTAGCATTATGCTATTTTATATTATTAAATTGCTAATTAATTTATGTTGAATGCGCTCAATTTTCTGCTAAATTTGATCACAATTCGATCAGCTGTATCAATTTCAACAATTAATGATGTTTATGAATATAATTAGGAATATTGTTTAAATATCTTTGGATTTTTATGCAATTTATTTCTATATAGAAGATGTGTATGAGAAGAGTATTTCTTAAATCTGGCAAATATCCAGTGAAAGTGAGCTCCATTTGGTACGTTTAGAATTGATTATCCCATACCTGTGCCTTGGTTAAAAAACACCCCAAATTGCAGGCGATTTCAAAGACACCACCAAAAACAACAACAACAACAACAACAGCGACAACAACAGACAAAATAATAATAACAACGTGCGCGACAGTTGTTACTCGTGGAAATATGCACCTCTCTCTTGAGGTCCTGGTGTACTGTTATCATTTACCTGTCTATTGAAGCGCATATTGCAATCCAGCTGATGGTCCACTCAAAAGTCAGTTCAAAGTCCGAAAGAGTTTAATTTTGGAGATACACTTATGTATGGATACAGATATTGTGTGCTTGTCTACGGACACAAAAAGACGCCATGACAATCTGAAGGGCCTTTGTTTGCTTTTGTCGGTTCACAGCAGCATTTGGAAACTCAATTTTCACAAATATTCAAGTGGCGCTTGACCAAAACACTGAGCTGAGCACATAAACAATAATTCCCGGCTTTTTCTAGCGTCTAGCAGCGGCACTCTGCCTGGTGGCGGGTGACTCACAAAGACCGTCGGATACGCTACTGAAAACACGTTGCACGAGAATCGAGCCTCGAATCGGTGCGACTTACTCTGGACTTTCACCCACGAACGGAGACGCATGCAAACTGACTGACACGCGACTCGAATCTCGCAGCCAAAGACCAAACAAGCCACGAGCGGACACCCGAGCACGGCCAGCCGATGGCTCCGTCCTGCCAGTCCCTTGCGGACGCGACAATTGCCGGCTATTGCTGCTGCGAGGAAGAAAGAGAGAGTGAGAATATGAGGGAGAGAGAGCGCAAGTGAAAACAGAAGGTGGTTGTTTAACCAGCAACAGAGTTGGCGGGGCAGTACACCCAAAGGGGTGGTTTGGGTGGATGGGCTAAACACGAGGCATGCGACGACGCGTCGTTTGTTTTGAGTTGTAATTCAGAAATCGGGATCGCGCAGGGTGGGTGGTGGGTGGTGGGTGGCCTATAATAATCATAGCCTAGTGGTGCGCATTTCTCTTGTTTTTTGCATGCGGCAAAATTTAAATAATTTATATTTTGATTATACACGTTAGAGTGTGCTACAAATTTAGTTAAACATTATTAAAAGTTTACTTAATAACGCCATTTTTGTCTCACTTTTTCAAAATATGCGCGTCTTGTGGAAACATAGTGCTTATCAATGTGCGATGTTTGTAAATTAATATCGATAACAAATATATTTAATATCGATAAGATATTGAAACGATTAGTTTGGCAAACTTTGTTTACATTTAAAACACGGGCCCATAGCCCTAAAATTAATAGTATGTCCATTTTTGAGAAAAGAAGGAAAAGAATTATAATTATAAAGAAATTGGTAAATATAATATTTTTCAGCTCTGAAACACCCTCGCCTTAAACAATCAATAATAATAAATAATTAAAACAGCAGCCAAGTTTAAGTTGGCTAACGTAACTTAAAGCTGATCAGAATTAATATTTATACATGCGATGTGCAAAAACTGCAAAATAAAATCAAAAGCGTTTGTAAAATAAATACAAATTCCAACTCTAATCTCAGATTTGCCATTACTAACTATAAAAAAGGCTTATCATTCGGGCCATATCTATAAACGTATCAGATCCGCTATAATCTATATTATTGAGCATTATTTACTTCAATTTAAAGTAGTCGACTTAATTTATGAGCATTGATTTCGCTGCGCTTATATTTGGCGCAATTCTCTATTCGGACATAGTAAAAAAAAAAAATTTGATAATTTGCGAATAGAGAGGGTGCGCATGTGGCCCTAATCCCGTATCGAGTTGATAGCTATCATGCGTCTAGTTTCTGCAATCATGTACAAAATATTTAAGGTGTGGGTGTGCTGAGAGGCGTGCGGCTACCATAAAGCGGCTAAACTGATAACTGGAACCCATTCAAAAGCGAAAGAATATATTGCCAAAATTGATAAGCCCTATCGTGTTATAATAAAATTATTCATACTCATATTCGCTAAGCAAGAGTTTCGGATTTCTGCCATTCGGTTGACCATTAGTCTCGCCTCTACTCTCCAGAGTGTGCTATGATATCGCCTGCCGCATAGCATTCGATCAATATATTGGATTATAATCTACGGAAAATTGACAAATAAATAAACCTTAAACCACAAATAGAGACAGTTCAAAACGTATCTAACTTGTGCTCATTAGTGACTGTTTCGAAGAAATTAAAACAAAATATCTTTCTGCATGCATTTCAATGAAACGAAATCTAATATTAGCAATAGGTCGCTACAATCTAACAATTTCAACGCATAACTTAATATTTTCTGCTATTAACAACTATTGAAAGGGACTTTAAAATGTGTTTTCTAATAAAAACATTTGTAATATTAATTGTTCTTCAATGGAACATAATTGAGTCAAGCTTAAGAGCTTTGGAGTCAGCGCCGCGTCATTTGGTGGAAACGTCCAGCGTCAACGAATCCGCAAAAATAACACCTCTTCAACTAGGCTCACATTTAGGAAAGAGCCTAAATACTGCAAAAGAGAGCCTATCTCAGGACACGAATGATGAACAGAGCAGCAATGATTCCATGGAGGGAAAAAATCTGGAATCGCTATTCGTGAAATACGGCACCGACGATGGAAATACTTGTCTTCTGGATAACGTCAAGCAGGAAATCTTGTGGTGGACATTTCCCAATGGAACTCTTAAGCCACCCAATAGCAAGCACTGTGAGTATATAAATTAAATCAATTGATAGATGTATAAAAAGTACAAAAGACGCGTATGATTTATTTCAGTTCTTATACTTAGTAGATAATGTGTAATGCTTAAGGCTACTTGGTGCTTTCATGTCCAAAATGGGCGCATCATGATTCGATTGGTTTTAAAGGTTAATTAGTTGAACGGCTGTTTTCGTATCTTTTCATTACGTCTCAATCGATAAGTTCTCAGTTTAAGAATCAACCAAAGACAACAGACTTGGTTTTCTATCTTCAGAGTTATCAATTCCTGTTTGCATCTCTTGTGGTACTTTTGCTCCAATCTTCGGACTTCTAGCGTGAATGTCCATATGCCGCCTTAGAAAACCCTCACTAAATAACGTTTTCATGCAGAGAGGACACTTGTACCTCGAGTAAGTGCATTTATCTGTTCGAATATGTTCGTCGAGAATGTAGGCATACCTGAATAGCTTTTGGCAGTGCGGGCACTTGTGCTCGCCGTCTTCGAGGTGTATCCGTAGGTGCTTATTGAGATTGTCACGGTGCGAAAATCTAGTTAAGCAGTGAGGGCATTTATGCGGTGGTTCGCCGGCATGATTAAACATGTGTCTCTTCAGGACAATGCGACTAGAAAATTTGCCATGACATTCTTTACATTTAAATCGGCGTTGGCCGGAGTGCAGTCGCATATGCACTCTCCGATGGTTTATTGTTTGAAAAGTCTTCGAGCAGTAGTTACACTTGTAAGGATGATCTTCGGTATGAACGAGTGTGTGTTTCGTCAGTTGCCTTTTTAAACTGAACACTTTTCCGCATGTTAAACATGGATACAATTTGGTTTTACCAGTTTTCTTGGTGTCGACCCTTGAGCTACTTTCACATTCTTCATAGGTTTCGTTATCGACAGAAAATGTTCCCAATATTTCTTGTTTGATCTCAATAGTACAGTGGGACAGCACGTTTTGCTCGGAATCGGAAATTTCTTTCTTTTCAACACCAGGCTGCAAAGCTTGTGAGATTTTTGTATTATCTTCAAGCGTTTCGTTGCCGAGACTGCTTCCTTGTGGAATAATTTCCAGCGGCTCTTCTTTAATATAGGGAGTACACTCAAGAGGTACGTCTTCGCAGGCGGAATTATCCTTGTTTCCAACACCTAACAATAGCAGGAAGTACTGTTGACTGTGTTCGCATCTGCGCTTGAATTGAAATGCATTTTGAGCATCCAATATGCAGGCCAGGCATATGTTCTGGGGCAACGGATCCTTAGAACTTATTTTACAGTTGCCACACTCCTTAAGCATGTCAACCAGAGGAGGATCCTGCTCCAGCTGGTCAAAGATGTTTACTAGAGTGACACAGTTGCTTCTGCATATGCGACAAACGGCTTCCATTTTCACTTTTGTGCAACTAGTGAGTCTTTTGAATATCGATTCGGCTGACGAACATGTGTTCAGTATCGATATTCATCGTAGAATACATCGATGATCGCTGTGTTGCATCGATAACGATAGTAGCTTTAACATTTATTTTATTTTCGGAACTGAATTCGAGTTGCCGGCAACCTAAACTAGAAATTTGTTAATCTATTCTGCAATTTAAAACGATTTTATTTATATTAAACTTTATTTTCTACAATGGGTACTTCAGCCTTACTAGGTGCTAGGATGTTTTCTTGTATGTATAACACTATGGCGAATGAGGCTTACATTTTGTTTAAACGATTTCAAACAAAGCTCACACTGAAACGGACGCTCACTGGTATGGACGCTATAATGTCGGGTCAGACGACTCCTTGTAGCAAAACTCTTGTCGCACGTCGTACACTGGAAACTTTTCAGACTGGACGTGCGTGTACCATTCGATATTCTTTCCTCGATGCCCTCTTCATTAGTTGCGTCTTCAGATAGCCCAATGGATAAGGTCCCTGATGGAGGAGCATCAGTAGATAATATCCTTGAGTTTATTTCTTCAGAACTAACATCTGCTTTTGGCATGTCAATTAATAATCCATCCGATTGAGCCATATCCAAGGACAGTCTTGATTTTGTATGTATTGAATTCCTTTTTGGTGCTTTTACGGCAATCGTCTTCCTTTTAGTGCTAGCGGGTTTCCGGCAACTCGGACTCTTATCGCCCATGTGAGTCTTTTGGTGTAGCTGTAGTTCTTTATTCAAAGCAAAGGCCTTCGGACATTCGGCACATTGGAATGGCCGCTCACCAGTACATCTGCGAATATGCACCTTGAGATTGTAGCCATCCCTAAAAGCCTTTTGGCAGTGTGGACACTTGTGCTTGCGCTCATTGGTATGTATGCGAATGTGCTTATTGAGAATACTGCGATGTGTAAATCGCTTCAAGCACTGATCACATTCGTACGGACGCTCGCCGGTATGTGTGAAAATGTGCCTTTGTAGGTCATCTTTTCTTAAAAATGCTTCTGTACAATATTTACATTTGAATGGACGTTCACCAGTGTGGAGTCGGACGTGCAACTTGCAAGTACTTGATGAATTGAAGGCCTTCGAGCAGTAAGTGCATTTGTAACGTCCGATATGAACGCGCGAGTGTTTTGTTAGGTCTTTTTTATAGCTGAACTCTTTGCCGCACTTTAGACATGAATACGAATTCTGTTTATCATCTATGTTGTCCTGTTGGTTATACAATGATGCTTCTGAGCTTATTCTCCTGTGGTCTGGCAGGATACTTTCCAATGGATCTTCTTTAACGTCGCGAAAACACTGGGAAATTGGGACGTTATCGCAGTCGGAATAACCTTGATGTTCAACGACTAGAAACTCATCAGCAGCGCTTAGTCCATTGTATTCGAAGCTTTCGTTATCAACAATTTTTTCTTGCGGCATATTTTCCAAGGGTTCTGTTTTTATTTCGAAAGAACACTGGGAAGGTGGCACGTCTCTTTCCCATTCTGAATTCTTCTTGTTTTCAATGTCTAGCAATTGCAAAAAGTATTGCTGGCTCTGCTCACACATGCGTTTGAACTGAAATGCATTTTGAGCATCCAATATGCAGGCCAGGCATATGTTCTGGGGCAACGGATCCTTGGGACTTATTTCACAGTTGCCACACTCCTTAAGCATGTTAACCAGAGGAGGGTCCTGCTCCAGCTGGTCAAAGATATTCACTAGAGAGACGCAATTGCTTGTGCAAATGCGACAAACCTCTTCCATTTTAACCTTTCGGCTATTTAATGAGTGAACTTTTTTGTTGTTCGTCGAAGTTTTGCTTTATTCGTAAATATTTCTAAACGCCTAGAGCTGACGAACATATGTTGAGCATCGATAAGCATCGTGGCAGGTAGATATCGATAGTATCGCATGATTTGTTTTTATTTTAATAACTGTAATCGAACTATCGAAAATTTAATATAAATAGAACTTTTATAACGTTTTTTGAAACATCACACTTTTTGCGGGTTGTCAATTAATTAAACAAAATGAACTCATAAGTTTATCAATATCAATTTTATTTTTTACTTATGATTGCCTTTTATGTCGTCCGACAGAAAACTCAGAGTTATTCTACTTGGAATGTATACTCCAACTTAAAACGATTTTAATTATTTTAGGTTTTGGTTTCGACAATGGGTACTTAATATTAATTGATTAATATCATAACAGCACACAATATCCATTAAATATTAATTAGTTATAGTTTTTCCTTGTGTGAGTAACACTATGCTTAGTGAGATGTGATCGTTGCTTGAACGCTTTCGAGCAGATCTCACACTTAAACGGACGCTCATCGGTATGGACGCCATAATGTTGGATCAAACGACCCTTTGTTGCAAAACTCTTGTCGCATGTTTCACACTGGAAGGTTTTCTGATCGTAAGGGTGCCTCTCATCCATATGTCTGCCTTCTTTGGGGTTCACATCTTCAGGCGACTCAGCGAGTAATATCTCAGAGTGAGGTGCATCCAATGAGAGTGAGCTTGGGTGTTCTTCTTTACAGCTATCTGCTCTCGTTGGCATCTCGTGTGGTGCTTCTTCGCCAAGCGTGTGCCCACTGGAATGTCTTTTTAGCTGAGCAGCCGAGCAGCGTCCCGAGCAGCTGGGACACTTATAATCCAAGTGAGTGTTTTGGTGCAGCTGTAATTCCTTTTTCAATACAAAGGCCTTCGGACAGTCGGCACATTGGAATGGCCGCTCACCAGTACATCTGCGAATATGCACCTTGAGGGTGTAGCCATCAGTAAAGGCCTTTTGGCAGTGTGGACACTTGTGTTTTCGGTCATTGGTATGCGTTCGGATGTGCTTATTGAGAATGCTGCGGTGGGTAAATCGCTTTAGGCAGTGCGGACATTCGTACGGGCGTTCGCCAGTATGCTTAAACATGTGTCTCTTCAGGTCATCGTTTCTTAAAAATTCTGCTGTACAATGCGTACATTTGAATGGACGTTCACCAGTGTGCAGGCGGATGTGCAACTTGCAAGTACTTGATGAATTGAAAGCCCTCGAGCAGTGGGTGCACTTGTAACGGCCGTTATGGATGCGCGAGTGTTTTGTCAAGTCGCTTTTAAAACTAAACACTTTTCCACATGTCAAACATGGATACGATTTATTTTTATCAGTTGTTCTGGAGTCCAGCTCCTCAGTGTTTTGTTGTTCGCACAGCGACGCTGTTGAGCTTACTCCATTGTCTTCGAAGCTTTCGTTATCGACACTGTTTTCTGGCAGGATATGTTCCAATGGCTCTTCTTTAACATCGAGGAAACACTGGGAATTAGGGACGGCTTCCTCGCAATTGGGTTTGTTTTTGTTTTCCACGTCTGGCAACAACGTTGTGGAGCTAGTTTCACTGTCTTTGACGCTTCCGTTATTGGCACTGCTTTCCGTCGGTACATTTTCCAATGGCTCTTCTTTAATGTCCAGTGTACATTGAACACGCACGTCATGGCAGTCGGAATCATCCTTGCTTTCAACATCTAACAATAGCAGGAAGTACTGTTGACTGTGTTCGCATCTGCGTTTGAATTGAAATGCATTTTGAGCATCCAATATGCAGGCCAGGCATATGTTCTGGGGCAACGGGTCATTAGGATATATTTTACAGTTGCCACACTCTTTAAGCATGTCAACCAGAGGAGGGTCCTGCTCCAGCTGGTCAAAGATGTTTACTAGAGTGACACAGTTGCTTCTGCATATGCGACAAACTTCTTCCATTTTTACTTCTGTGATTTAGTAAATTTTTGTATACACAGCTGACAAACATATGTTGAGTTGGGTATACATCGTGGCATGTATCGATATATCGATTAAAACTGTGGTGCTTAGATATCGATAGTAGCCGTTTTTAATATTTTTGAAAGGTAATTTAAACTAAACAGGATTCTTTATTGAATAATATTTAACTAATATATTTTATGATAATTATATTAGAGAAATCGTTGGTTTCTATTTTTTACAGTGACAAATATGCACTTAGATCTTTCCTATGGTAACATATCTGAAGACGAGGATTTATTAAATAAAACGAAATTTGCGCGCCGATATAGTTTTAAAAAAGTAGAAGCTTTCTCTGCTGCCTACAACAGACTAAATAAAGTACCATTCCAAACTTTGTCAACAATGACGGGATCTTTAAAATATTTATCTCTAAAAGGTAACCAGTTTGCAGCCCTCAATCATGATGTAGAAGGTGAGTAGAAAAGTTGGTTAGATATCTACCGACCACATAAAGTGTACAGATCGCACACATTCAGACTTATCTACAGGCTCTTTGCTAAATTTCAGCCATTGAGCGGTTTTTACAAGAGACTCGATTTACCCCCAATGCCACACAAAACAAATGCGATGAGCATTTTGCAAACAATCATACTAATAACATAGATCTATATGATCGGGAATGTTTGCTATACTACCAGAACAACAAACACATTCATAATTCAAACACACAAGACTTGATCTATGAGGATTATATACGGAAACTTCAATTAAAGCACATACTATTTGGCACTTCAAGTAAGACACGATACAATATTCTTCCTCATTCCACATACCAACAACGTCATTTACTGTACTTTAAACGACAATTTGATGCAAGCTTAACTTAAATGTATTTATTTTTATTTTTTTGCTTAGAGGAGAGCATTGCTTGGGCAACCTTTCCGCATCTGCAGCACCTTTTGGAACTTGAAATCAGTAACTGCAGCATCGAGTATTTGAGCAAAGAGGCATTCAAAAATGTGACAAACCTTCGGAAACTCTTCATCTCGAACAACAAGATAATGACCATAAATTTCGATACATTTTACTATATACAGGGAGTACAATATCTAGATTTGTCGTTTACAAACGTTTTGAACTATAATTACCAGCTATCGATGCCCGAGCTTGAGGTTGTCTTAAATCTGGTGTATGGTCTAAAGATCCATCAGACGGCATTTAAGCTGCTACCAAAACTCGTCTATCTGGATCTCTCACACTCAAAAATCACACGAAATAGCGCAGTTGCCTTCACACATCTTGGGAACAAGCTCAAGTATCTGAGCTTGTGCTACACATCGTTTCCCATGATGAGCAATGGCTTTTTTAAGAACACAGCTCTAGAGGGACTTGATATGTCTGGCAATCCTTTTGTCTCGTATAACATTGTCGATGACGCTTTCGACAGTATTGGCGATACGCTTAAATTTCTGTACTTTGAGCACTCTAATCTCAAGGATATCAAGTGGTTAAGACCGCTGAGAAAGTTGCAGTTGTTGGGCTTGGCCGGTAACAATATCAATGCCCTATCGGTCGAAGCGTTTCAGTCTTTGGTAAGCTTGCAACTTCTGGATCTGAGCTCCAACCATATTGGCAACTGGTATAGGAGTGTGTTTTTTAACAATACGGCACTGCGGGTTCTAAATTTACGCAGCAACAACGTCAACATGCTGACCACCGAGATGATGAAGGATTTTGAAACGCTCGAATACCTGAGTCTCGGCGACAATAACTTCCTTTGTAATTGTATTCTGCGTGAGGTGGTCGAAGTAGCTGCAAACAACAATAAACAAGCCGACTGTTCATTCAACTTTCTACAACACGCAGCTGCTGAACTGATTGCCTCAAACATCAACAGTCTAACTGAGCTGAGCAAATCCCTTGCCGGGTACATTGAACACCAGTTGTGGAAGCGACGCTATTTGCCACAGCTCATCGACAGCTATAAGAACATAAAAGACTTCAAGCGGCTCAAGAAAATAACCAATTTGCGTTTCCTTACCAAAGACTTGCGTACCAAACAATGCCCCGCATCTATTCAAAAAACGGTGAACGAAACTTCTTTAAAATTTCAATTACTTGATTACGATGCAAAGAATTATTGGTGCTTTAACGAGACGGATAAATTACAGGTGGATGAGTTAGTCTGCCAGAACCGAATATTGGTTGATTTTGAAGAAAAGCTGCACAACACCTTCAAGATAGTCACAGCTGTTGTTGGAAGCATTCTGGGTGTATTCATTCTGGGACTTATCATATATCTAAAGCGTTGGCATATACACTATTATTATGCTTCACTGAAATCGGCGGCTCTCTTGTCTACCGCCTCAAAGGAGTCTCTTGACAAATTTCATCGTCTATCCGAAAACAATCCCAGCGTGATATACGATATTTTTATAAGCTACTGCCAAAATGATCGCCAGTGGGTGCTGGACGAGCTGCTACCAAATGTTGAGAAATCAGGAGATATTTCTATATGTCTGCACGAACGTGACTTTCAGGTTTGTCAAAATGAAATAAATAGTGTATGTATAGCTAACTTGTATATTTTACTTATAGATCGGAGTAACAATACTGGATAATATTATTTCAAGCATGGATCGATCGCGCTCACTGATGTTGCTAATTTCCTCAAAGTTTCTGCTCAGTCATTGGTGTCAATTCGAAATGTATCTGGCCCAACATCGGTGAGCATGAAAGCCTGTACTAAAAAGTAAACATAACTCAACTTATTTACGTTCGACAGCATCTTTGAGATGAGCAAGGAGCATTTAATACTCGTATTCCTGGAGGAAATACCACGCAGTAAACGCCCAAAAACGCTTCAATACCTAATGGGTATAAAAACCTATATTAAATGGCCGAGTAAAGGTAGCAAACAGCCAACATTGGAGGAACGTAAATTGTTCTGGAAGCGCCTAAGAAAGTCATTAGAGTTAATTGGCATAGGCACAAAAGATTCCAATGTCTAAAGATATTGGACTGCATAGTTTCACCCTAAAATGAATGCAAATATTCTAGTCATTTTTTTAAGTACCTGATATACATAAAGTACATTTTTAGAATACGAAATAGTATGAATCACTGAAAATATTTTAAGCTCAATGAAAACCGTTTGTCATATTTTAAGATTTATATAGTCTAAGTATTGGAGTACTGCAGCTGCAGAGACAAAGTGCAAAGTGTTTAGATAAGGTAAAGAAATGAAAAATTGATTGGTAATGGCAGCTTATAAATCATGACTGTGTGGTAAAAAATATGGAAAGGAAATAACCAATAAAATTTAAAATTTAAACCATTGTATCGATATTTTAATCGATAGTGCGGAGTTTTCAACGGCCTACTCACTTATCGGCAGTACTCACTTATCGATATATGCGACAGCTGTTTCCATTCATTTTTGGCGCCATTTTCGCCAGTAGCGCAGCAAACCGAATACAATTGAGTCGTGTTTGCCAACATGGATTTTAATTTAAAGAAACGAGCACGACACGATGTGAAAGTTGAAGTGGTTAGTTTGGAAGCAAAGTATCCGCACAATGTGATGCTGTATCACTATCCGCCAACGGAGGATATTCATATTGATGAATTTGAGGAACTCGCTTTGGAGCGTCTGCGCCTGCTGCGCGTTTTTGATCGCGCCACAACAAAGGGACTGCGGCTGCTCTCTGAGGACTGGAAGGAATATGTGAATAGCGAGATGAGCAGAGATGGACTCCGTGGCTATTTGCGCATGGGCACGACAAGCAGTGGTATTAAACATGAGTCGGATTTACAAATGCGTCGGCGTGACTATTTATCACACTTCATACTGCGCTTGGCATATTGTCGCTCAGAGGATTTGCTGCGCTGGTTCGTAGCACGGGAAATGGAGTTCTTTAAATATAAATTCGCCGCACTTAACACAGCTGAAATTAAGCAGTTTCTCGAGGCCAACAGTTTTCACATTCTCCCATTGACAGAAGAGCAGAAGGACGAGGTCAAAGACGGTCTCTATGAAAGCACTGTGGGCCAGAGTGTATCAAAGATCGAGCTGCTCGAGTTCTACAAAGTACCCTTCACACAAGTTTTGGATTTGGTGCGGACCCGGCGCTGTTATCTAAAGGCCGGCTTTGCCTATGTGAACACACACGACATGGTGTCAATTGTGGGCGCCAGACAGCTGGATGAAATTGAACGCGGCATGCAAGCAGCTAAGTCCTTTATTGCTGACGTCGAGGCAGACGAGCGCATCTCGCGCATGATCAAGTCCCTGCACAACTCGTATACGGGCAAGGACTACACGGTATGCAAAGATGCTTCGGTGCCGATTGAGTCTCTGGATCAGCTATCCAAAACGTCCATGCCACTCTGCATGCGTATGTGCCACGAGCACATACGCAGCCAGCACCATATCAAACACGGTGGACGCATGCAGTACGGTCTCTTCCTAAAAGGCATTGGTGTCACGCTTGAGGACTCGTTGCGCTTTTGGCGCGAGGAGTTTACTAAGAAAATGGACGTCGATAAGTTTGCGCGCAGCTACGAGTACAACATTTACCACAACTATGGCAAGAAGGGCTCCATGGTCAATTATACGCCATACTCTTGCCTGAAGATCATTAAGGAAATGGCAGCGCCTGGCGATTGCCACGGCTGCCCCTACAAATCGTTAGACCAAACTGCGCTAAAAGCGAAACTCTCTTCATATGGCCTCTCGCCGGGCGCCATCGATGAGATCATGTTTTTTGTTTCGCGCAATCATTACCAATTCGCCTGCGGAAAATACTTTATGCTGACGCACAACTCGACGGTGGAGCCGACAATCAATCACCCAAACAACTATTTCGAGGAAAGCCAAATCTTGATGGGCAATCGCCAGAAACGCGCTCCCGGGCCAGCTCAGCAGAATAATAAAGTCAGGGCCTCAATAAAAGGGGCCGCAAACAGATCCATGCTTAATGGTGACGATGATGACGAGCTGTGGAAAATTGCCGAGACACAGGAGAAATTATACCAGAGCCAGAAAGGCATTGCGGAGGCCTTCGATGATGATCTAGATCTTACTGAAATAATGGATTAATAATAAATATAGATATATAAATGGAATCAGAAATGGGAATTCAGTTCAAAGGGAAAGGCGGACTGGAAGGGACTCGACTCGCGACTAATGCTATCTAGCTTAGAATAAGAGAAGTTTTTAAATGCGTGCTGTTGTTAAGACTGAACTTTACTGGATAACTTAGATCTGCACTTGGGCTTGGCGCAGTCAACATGTTTTCGTTTCAACGGATTGAAGTTTTTGCCATACGGGCTTTGGCCATTAACATCAACGTAAAAAATGCCAGTCGCCTTCCGGTTAATCATATAGCCCATTGTTGAAGTTTTGTCGGTCTGACATTTTCGCCTTTCGAGCTCTTTCCACGACCTGCATTTGAAACCCAGGAAATTTCTCTCCTGTTGCGGATAGACGCTCTCCGCAAAATACTCAACAGCACGCGTGTGTGAGCAGCCAATAGTCAGGCAGCCGGGCTTAATGGGATGTGCACCTCCAGGATAAAAGTCAATGTCGCCCAACGGATCTCGTTTCGCCAAAATGCCAATATTTGTGTGTATAACGTCCACTAGCGCAGCATCGCCACGCATCAGTCCGGGCAGTGATTTTTCATTGCGAAAACAGGGCTTGGCTGGATCCAGACCAGTTATACGAGACACAAGACGTCCCGTTAGTTTTTTGAATGTGCGACCAGCAGTGCCCATAATATGGGCGCCCAATGAATGACCTGGGGCAATATTCTATTTGATCTTGTCGACGAAACTATAGCTGCCAAACTCACCAATCAAATGAATGTCCATCAATGGCATCACCTTTATCAAATGCTGTAAACCGACGGCTAGGTGCTCCCCAATGAGATCTGTGTTCAGGGCCGACCACTTGTACAATGTGTCCACGTAATAGGCCGCATCTACAATCTAAGATGAATATATAAAGGTGCATACTTGGTGGATACTTTACGTAGTACCACAAAATTAACAGCAGGCCGACACATAAAAGCCCTCGATATCATCGATATGGTGGCAGAATCGTTAACGGTATTTGTCCAGCCCGTAGCCAGGATGACCAATTTATGATTCTGTCGAAATTTCGGATGATTCCATAACTTTTCGGCTTTCAATAACGGAACGCTATAATTCAGGCATGGCGTCATATACTGAAAGTGCATTTTCGTTATGTCCGGCTGTATTTGCGGAGGCACGCTTCCAATAAACAGCGTGGAGGAGCCTGTCAAGCGTTGGAATGGGATACTATAGATAGATGGAATACTAAGTGAAGGCCTGTCACCTTTTCCCCATGTACTCACACAAGGTATCAATAACGGATGCTGCCAATTCCAGCGGAAATGCTGTAAAAATATTCAATTTCAAGGTAAGAATATCCGTAAAGGCATTGGGAATTCCCTGCCACCAGCTACTCGTTGAGTTGTTAGCCTCTGCAGTATACCCTGTGCTGAGAAGAATTATGCTTAGAGCTCTTAGGCCATTGAATTGGGGACGCATTATAAAATATATGTGGTCCAAGTAAGTCAGCAACGAACTGTGGCCGCCTAAATTTTGTTGGGCTTCTAGACATGAACGCAAAGTTTTTGCAAATAGGTCGAGTAATTTTTAAAAATCTTTGTTTGCATTGTTGCAAAAAATGGAAAAATATGAAAACAGTTGGCACACCAAAACTTAAATACACTTTCAGAAAAACGAGTTAAGTTACCCAATTAGGTGAAAAAAAGCCTGTTATAAATTAAAGTCCCCTTGGCATAGGTTTTTTTTATCCCTTTTCCAAAGTTTCGAAATCCCTTCATGCTGTCTATGAGTGAAAATATTTAGAAGAATGCTCACTTAACTTTAGTTGACACACAAAATTATGCCTTATAGGATCGAAAATGATTTTTGAATGGATCACACACCTTTCGACAAAGTAGGTATACCCCCGAAAGAGAGTAAATATTGGGTCACACAACATATGTTTTCATATAATCGTTTATTTTACCCAAATTTCGAATAATGTCATTGTCAGCAGCTGTGTTGTATTTAGGTACATTCAACCCCTACAAAAATACTTTAAACATGTTACTAAGAGAAATACTATAAAAACTCAGAAACTGAAAATCCCAAATGAAGAAAGCAGCTCTTTGTGATAAGCAAAGCGTGACAATCTCAGTTTCATTTTATTTATTTATATAATTGTTTAGGTTTATTTTAAAAATAAATTATATTCGTTATAAGATCTTCTCTGTGGTCTTATACCCTGAACTCATTACAAATGAGTAAAAAGGGTATATTGATTTTGTGCAGATGCATGTAACAAGCTCCACGCATATATGTGGACCTGTCCATGTTCTTCTCCCGTGTGGTTGGCGGGCATTAGAATACCACCACAGCATGTCACCGCTTGTCGTACGAGGCGACTAAGAGAGACAATTTCCTGCCGGGCCATCCGAGTTCTTTAGTCGGTACCGCGCATTGAACAGTTACGAGACTGTTCGTTGAGGTGAACTCCTTGGGCGAGTATCTTAGGGATTTTTACTTTGCTAATAGTTTCAGTCCTTACCAAATGGAAGAGGCATACAGGTGCCTCTTAAAAAACGGGTAACTAAAAATGAAGCCTAGACTGCAAATTTGATCGCAACGACTTTATATTGCTTGTAGAAGAAATAAAAATATATAGCTTATTCACATCTGAGCGAATTTAATCATATTAGGTATCCTTGCATTTACAATTATCGCTTTTATCCATCAAACCCATTGTTATTGCTGATTCCCAATTCATGCCAAACGGACTCGCGCCCCTCACATCGAGATAGTACACCCCTCTGGCGGCCCAATCAATCGTATATCCCATTGTAGTTTCTGAGGATCTACAGGATTTGGTTTCAAGCTCTTTACTTGAGCTGCATTTGTAGGCCAAAAAGCTTCTTTCCCGACGTGGATAAACACTTTCGGCAAAATATTGGTATGCACGGTTGTGCGAGCAATCGATAAACAGACAACCGGGCTTAAGGGGATCTTCACCTGCTGGGTAAAAATCAATATCACCAGTTGGAAAACGCTGTCCCAGAAAGCCAGGATTTGTGTGTATAACATCTACTAGCGTGGCATCTCCCTTGGATAAACTGCGAAATTTGGATCTTTTCAGAAAACAGGGCTTGGCAGGATCCAGACCAGTTATGCGAGGCACCTGTCGCTTTGTGAGTCGCTGAAATTCGCGACCAGCCGACCCCATAATATGTGCACCCAATGAATGACCTAGAAAAATAAATAAGAATTATACTGCGATAGTTGTAGCCAAGGAACAAACCAATTAAATGAATGTCGATCAATGGCATCATATCATATAATTTCGCTAAGCCAACGGCAATGTGCTTGCCTATCATATCCGTGTTTAGGGCGGACCACGTATAGAGCGTATCTACATAACTAGACACATCTACGGCCTGAAATGACAGTACTCAATCAAGCTCAACCTTTAACCTGTAACCCTCAATGTATACCATAAAATTAACATCGTTTCGGCACATAAAAGGCATCCATATCGTTTCTATTGCATGCGAATAGTTGATTGTGTTCAGCCATCCAGAAGCTAAAACTACTAATTTGCGATTCTGTTGAAATTGTTGATTCTCCCAGAGAGTGTCTGCTTCCAATATAGGCACTTTATAGCTGCCACATGCTGTCATGTAGTGAAATTGCATGTTTTTTATGTCTGGACTTTTATGCTCTGGTACGGCCATGACTTGTACCATTCTCATACCTGTCGAGTGTTGGGATGGGAGTATAAAATGGGTTAGGCAGATTGATATTGCTATCCGTACTCACATTCTGTCTGCAAATAATCGGAGGTAAATGCAACGATGCCGGATCCCAATTTAAAGGCTGTATTGACACCTTTTTCTGCCAGACCAGAGACTGAATTAAAAATAGGGCCTTCGGCTAGGTTTTTCAGACCAAAGGGCACGCTGAATATCCCATCATCTCCTATATATGCTCTGGGCGCTGCACTACCAAACAAACAGATGCTAAGAGCACCAAGCCAAACAAATATTGAGCGCATATCTGAGATATAGGTGAAAAAACTCCGTTCTATCGACAATCTGCGTACCAATAAACTAGTTTGATTGTTTAACAAACAATTTTAAGCTAACGTTGTGACACCAATTAGTTTTGCATTCATTATCCAATTTTATGCATATCTTAAATGGATTGAAATTATTAGATTGCAGAATTGAAATTTTACGCAGATTTTAAAAGATATCATTTACGTTTTTAGAACCATATAATAAAAAATATGCCCTTAAAATCTGTTCTTATTTTAAATAATTAGCTTAAATAGCAGTGTGCAAGCTACGTAGCATATAATTTACAAATATCTTCGTACTGCACGTTGTCCACAATGCGGCCCTTTAATGGACCGTGCAGTATCTCAATGCTGACACAATATTTTCGCTCGTCCAGCTTTTTAAGCAACGCTTCTGAGCCTCGGTATGCGCCGTTCACCACAAGCACTTCCTTGTCCAGGGCGGGTATTACTGTCTCCAGATGCGCCTAAAAAAAAAGGAATTCATAAGTGTTTTGCTTTTGTTTAGGGAACTCGTGAAATTACCTGATCAACTTTACACTTTTCTCCACTCTCCAGAAATTTAATTTTTGCCCGATATCTATCGATGACTTCTTGCACCACAGCTTTCTGTTTGTAGAACTTGTCGCCCATGGAGCTTGAAATAAATTTGACTACAATATTTGGATGAAGCCAGTAATCCTTGCGATTAGCCCGTTCTTTACTCCTTTCCTCGAGTTTGATTATCTCATCCAACGCGGATCTGCTGCTCTCCGTTGGCACTGGCTTGGGTTTCTTAAAGACTTTCTCGTCTGATTCGGCAGCTGTGCGTTTCGAATGTAGCGCCGATTTGCCCAATATCGATTCGGGCTGGAATTTTTTCTCCAATCGTATGTCCAGCTTTAGGGGCTGCTCTTCTTCACGCTTCAGTTCCGTATACTTCTCCTGTGATTCATCCTCTTCGCCGTCCTTTGACTTTGCTTTTTTAATTTGCTTCTCAATAAATTCCGTCATGCGTTCCTCATCATCCTTTTCCATTTTTTCTTTGCGCTCGGCCTTCGCCTGCCGCTCCATGGCCTCCGGGCTGCGGTCAATGTATGTGACAAACCATCCCTTTTCCGTTTCGTCGGCCACCACTTGACCAGTGCGGCCCAGCCACTTAACATAATCGGATAGCGTTAACCAGCGGGTGGCGTTCATGTGTATGTGCTCCTTGTGTGCAATGTATTCCTGATATATTTTGTTGGCGTTCGTGCGCTTGGTGCCAAAGCGGCGACGCAGCAGTTCCATATAGCCATCGGAGAACTCCTTGGAAAAGTTGTGCAGAAACTTGCCAGGTGAGTCCGCAAACAGGAGGAGCTGCCGCTGATGGGACTCACTCATTGTGTGGCACTTAAAGCCATTTTCGTCACGGCATTGTTTCTCGCACATCTGACAGTACCAGCGCAACTTCTGCAAGCCCTTTGCCTTCATCTTGTTGGCAAGGTACTTGGGTGTACCAACTTCGGCGCGTCCCATGATTACAATTTATACTTTCGTTTTAAAAACAATAAACAAAACAAGCGAAGTAAATAATGCTCTAAATTGTCGTTCCGTGCCTTCTAAACCATATGTTCAATGATTACAGAACTTAACATTTTGCTCAACTGTTATTAACAGCGATGAGTGTAATCAGTCGATACCATCACTACATTATCGGTTTGAAGCCATTTTTGAATTAATCATAATAGTATTGGGTCACACTGTTCGTAATGCAATAATTGGCGCGGCGTTTTTAAAGAGTTAAATTGTTCAACATGTGGCATTGCATTATAAGCATAGAGCAACAGTGGCTTTAAAAGCCATTTAACAAATATAAACGTTTAAATCTATAGTCAATACAAGCGTTTTAGTAAGTACCCTCTGCATTTATTGTTGTTTTCGTTTCTACCTCTCAAATCAACTTATCAAGGAGGTATTTGATAACAGTTCTGCAATCTGTGCTCTGTATATACGATTATATTCAGACCAGTCGGATGGACAATTAAAAATCCCGATAAGATTTTGATTTGAATCGCAAATGCAATTAACTTGAAGTACATAAGTTATTGTCGCCTAACAACAAACCGGCTTATTTCTACATATGACTGGCGAAAGCTTCGAAAATGGTAAATGTAAATACGAATGCATCTATCACTCATCAATATACGTAAAGAACGAATAAATGTTTGTAAGTGGTAGTAGAGAAAAATTACAAACCGGTATGGAATATGCAATAAAGCGTGAGCATTAGATTAACTGATAAAGTTCTATAAACCACTTTCTTATAAATATCTAAAATAAAGGTTCACCCTAATTGTGTGGCATACCGACACGAACACAAATCCAACATAACATACATATGCACGTGTGTAGGTACTTATTCATTTGTATGTAGTATGGTTAATTAATTTACAACTTTAACGAGCATTCGATCGCCACATCACAGCTCGGAATCAGGTCCAATGCAGCGCTACGGTCAATCGCCTGTCATTCCCAGTTGAATAGCTGTCCGCAGAGGTTCAGTCAGAAATATAGTAAAATGGATGAAACAATTGATAATGCATCTTACATTGTTGATGGAGTCCGCGAGAAGTTAATGAACGATTGGAAGATTCTACAGCATGTCTTCAAGCTGGTAGAAAAGGAGGATACTTTTTGTGCCAATCCAGAACTATGGAGGGAACAGAAAATAGTCGATTTTATGCAGCCGGACGAACTAAAGGTTAGTGACCCCTCCCCACTTCGTAGACGAGGTCTAGACGTCCCGTCAAAGCAGCCGAGACAGTTCCCGATAAGCGGCTTTAATGCTGATCATTGAAAGAGTTTATTGTGCAGCTGCTTGATCACTTTATTGATCCGCCGTCGTAATCTATTGACGGGTTCAAAAATCTTGAAGCATGAAATGTCTTTTCTACTATTAAAAATATTGATATTCCTCTTAGAAACATATAGACCTGACAATCAAGGAAAACGAAACATCCACAAACTCTGATATCGAGCAGATCTGTCAGCAGGTTATACAATATTCTGTAAAAACCTCTCATGGCCGCTTTCACAATCAGCTGTTTGGACAAATGGATCCCTTTGGGCTGGCTGGAGCCTGGATAACCGAGGCACTGAACACAAGCTCGTAATATACAAAAACAAATATGGATCCTTTAATTTGAATGTGTGCACTTCCAGTTACACCTATGAGGTGGCGCCTGTTTTTAGCCTAATTGAGACGGAGATCATATCAACGGTTTGTAGATTAGCCGGATACAGCCAAGGCGATGGTATATTTGCTCCTGGCGGCTCCTCATCGAATATGTACGGACTCGTTCTTGCGCGGTATAAACGCTTTCCACAAATCAAATCGACTGGCATGTTTGGATTACGTCCGCTTGTCATCTTCACCTCCGAGGACTCGCACTACAGTCTGCAGAAAGCTGCCCACTGGTTAGGCATTGGTGCTGACAACTGCATAGCTGTGCGCACCAATGCCAAGGGTCAAATGTCACTGGACGACCTGGAGGCGAAAATTAAAGCAGCACGGGCACGCGGACATGAGCCGTTTTTCATCAATGCCACCGCCGGCACAACGGTGCTGGGCGCATTTGATGACATTGCTGGCACTGCCGATGTGGCCAACCGCCATGGACTATGGCTGCATGTGGATGCCTGTCTGGGTGGATCCGCACTGCTCGCCTACAAGAACCGCTCACTTTTGAAGGGCCTGGAGCGCGCCAACTCCTTTGCCTGGAATCCACACAAGACCCTCGGCGTTCCGTTGCAGTGTTCCCTGTTCCTCACCAGCGAATCCGATTTGCTAGCGCGCTGCAACAGCATTGAGGTGAATTATTTATTTCAGCAGGATAAATTCTATGATATCTCTTACGACACCGGCAACAAGAGCGTCCAGTGCGGCCGCAAAATAGACGCCTTCAAGTTCTGGCTTATGCTCAAGGCGCGCGGATACGGCAAATACGGACATTTAGTGGACCATGCCATATTAATGGCTCGCTTGTTGGAGCAAAAGTTGCGCGGACGTCCAGATCGCTTCAGACTCGTCCTGGAGCAGCACGAATACTCCAATGTCTGCTTTTGGTACATCCCAAAATCCATGCGGGTGCAGAGCAGCGAGGAGACCGCAGAGTGGCGGGCGCGTCTATATACCGTATGTATTGAACCAAGATACGCTGCAAGGTCGGGATTTATAAGTTGATTCAACAGGTCGCACCCCTTATCAAGGAGCGAATGGCGTACAGTGGCACCCTGATGGTTGGCTATACGCCGCTCAGCAGTCGCAAGTTGGGCAACTTCTTCCGCATGGTATTCACCTGTTTTCCCGTGCTCAAGACTGACGAATTGGATGTCATTTTAGACGAAATCGAACGTCTGGGCAAGGAGCTCTAACTATAAATTTGAATATAAAATAATAATCATTTGTTTCAAGTAAAACGGTTTCCTTTTTTATATTTTTGTTTTTCTCTTGATTTAACATTATATCTTTGTGGTTTTTTTTTATTTACGGTATATATGTATTTTTGCAATTTTACTTTTATTCGCCAACAACGTTAAAATGGAAGAAGGATTGTGTGTGTGTACGTGTGTGTGTTTGTGTATTATTAAAATATTCTATTTGCTCTTTTCGATTTTGCTTCTTTTATGAATCAATCAAGTTTTCAATTTGCGGTCTGATTAACTGATTGGAAAAGTAAAAATTATCTAGTAGTCGTCTAAATCGAAGCCGTCGTTGTCCAACTCATCAAGCTGCATACTCTGGAAATCCACTTTGTAGCGCAAGATACCTGCGAAAAGCATTGAATGTTATTAAACTAACGTTTTTAATAGATTCAAAAAGCTAAATAATAAAATAACTAAATATAATTGAAAGGAAAATGCACAGAATTATTTCAACTAAATTAATAGCACAACAGATTGTGAGTAACAAATCCTATATAAATAAATGGATCTGCATATTTAAAGTTTAAAAGAAACACATCAACAAATTTTCTAGATATTACAAACAAAAATGAACAAAATTTGTTATTTTTAAAACAAACTCAAAAGTGTTCTGCAATCCTGCTACAGATATTAGGGGAATAAAAACTGAAATGGCCTTAATATAAATTGGATAACATCGAAGTTCCAACTGGATTTGTTTTTGCATTAGCGTCGTCGTACAGCGTCTATGTAGGCTCCGGTGCTTGGGAGGAATAGTTATAACAAAATGGAAATATCACATGAATAGTTGGAATAATTTATAAGCAGAGTTTTGTTTACGATATCGGGAGGTGTCAATTTTTTATTTACTTTATTCAGGTTTTGTTTGTTCATTATTGTTGTATTTGGTTTGTTTGTGTACTTAGAAGTTTTTCGGTTTTAACTTGTGTCAAATGCAAACAAAGAAATTGCCTATGTAAATATTTTAAATGCTTGTCAAATACGAGTACATATATGCATAATGTCACCGAGTGTTAGTTGATCTATTTAAACGAGAATCAATAATGCAACCAGAGCATCAAACTTGACAATTCAAATACTTATTTCAGGTTTCATGCTGATGTTGTAAATACATTGATTTTTTGAAATTTTGTAACGGCTGCGCGAGATTTTCTTTTTGAATGCAAGTAAAATACATGTATCCAAAAGTATTCCGGCTTTACTCGTATATACACATATTTACTTCTTATCTATGTATGTGTCTCGTACAGGATTTCTTAAGTTTGTAATTCAAAGGTTCGTTTTATATTCCTTTTCTGTTACAGATCGAAAGCATAAAGAATATTGAAGTACCCAAAAACGCTTTTCATTAATAAATAATACATTTAATTTAACCAAAGCACATCGTTATTTGTGTTCAAGTGAAATACTCCAATTAAATAAAGCCTAAATCTAAAATAATTGCCCACCATCCAAATCTATATCGCTAAAACGTATATCGCAATGGGGGCATTTGTTTTGAGATAATATTGTTGAAATATTTGTTAAAAACTATGCGTCAAGTAAATTGGTTCCTATCAAGTTTTGAACAATTTATGGCGTTTTAAAAGAAATCAAATAAAATATTTTGTGTATTGAGATCCGAAAATCTATGCAGTGCGAATGCTTTCTTTTATGTTTTGTTTTCTTTTCTTTCTGTTTTTGCTTAGTAATCGTCAAGATCAACGTCCTCCAGCGGTTCATCGGCTTGTAGCGATTGAAAATCTACTTTATAGCGCAAAATGCCTACACATATATATAATTTTAAATAAATAATATATATGTTCATATATTAAAACAAGTATAGTTGATGGTTATGGACAAGGAGCGACGTCAAGTTGAATTAAGTTACATTTAGAGTTATGTTTTAAAGCAGCATGAAGGAAGAGGAATCGAAACAGTAGATACGTAATTAATTTTTTAGCTTACACTCGTACTGTATTCAAATATGTGTATATATATCAATATAGAGGCGCTTTTGTCAACCACTTACCGCCAATGCCACCGAAACCTCGCACAAACTGACTGCCCTCCTGAGATTTGTCCGTAATTATCTCGAGGGTGGCGCCAAACATTTTGTAGTTGTTCGCCAGCCATTCCAAAAGCGGTTGAGACTCGATTAACTCCATTTCTACGCCGCTCTGCAATTTTTTAGATTAATAATAATGTGTTATTGATCAATGAGAGCAAATTTCGGCGCGTACCTCCTTGTCCGTGAAGTGAGACTTATCTTTTTCCTGCTCAGGCGTCAAATGTAATACTGTCGTTGACGTCGAGTTCGCATGGTTCTTCAGTACATAGCGTTGAATATCTAGATTTTCCCAGCAAATCAATGTTTCCACAGAGCCCAGTTCCAATGCTCGTAGAGTATCTTCTACACCAAAACAGTATTTGCCAGTATCCTTGAATATAGATAATATATATAATTGTTATATAATTTATTTTGTCCTGTTTAAATATGCTAGCAACTAACTCACCTGAGAAATTTCATCAAAGTAACGGCCAATGAGTTTCTTCTCCTGTATAAATTTGACATTCTGCAACGATTCAGCGGCTAATTCGATGGCCTGATTGAAACCGTTCTCACCGCCATAGGACACGTCCACCAGTTTAATAACTTTCGTTTGTAGACGCTGCAAAGGAAAAGCAATGTGTTATTATTTTATTAGAGACTTGACCTACAATGTGTTGCATACATTTCATGATCATTCTGGATGACAATTGGCTCCACTGGCTGCGTGACTGACGATTTATATAGTATTGGTAGTCTTGATCAATTTCACGAAATCAATAGAAATCCGACCCTTTATACCAAAACCACTCTAGACATATTTATACAGGTTGTTCGGATCGTCATTCGTCGCTGAAGCCAGTGGAACTAGCCCTTGGTATCCAGGCTATTCTTGACCAGTGTTAGATTACTTACAGGATCAAACATGTCCGACTGGCTGAGCTCAGTTTTAAAGTCCGCACTACCGGCCAATATGAGGCCGGCAATGTTTGGCTTGTCATTCGTAATGAACAACTGTGTGGCCACCTCGGCCACCTTGCGTACGTAATTGTGACGCTTCTCCATGCGCAGACGGGCGAAACGAAGGGCAGACTGACCACCACGTCCGTGCTTCTTCGGCAGATCGACGGTGAATTTGTGGAGCACCTCGCGCGTGTTACCCTGAAGGGTGCCAAAGAGAGCGCCATTACCATCCATCACAATGAAGCCGAACTTGTTGTCGTCGGCGAGCAGGGCAGTGAGAGCCTCCGTATGGAACTTGTTGTCGCACAGATAGAGTGAGGTATTAATGGGCTTGAATGGCTCAAAATCAATGTTCACTTTCTTCTCCTTGCCCTCCTCTGTGACAATGGTGCCGCAATATATGACCAATCCATTGGGAGGCACTGTAAAATAATGCAATAATCTTCAATTAGCTGTTTCAATGATTTTAAATGAAACACCCACCTTTGGTGTATAACTTAAGTCTGTGCTGCACCGACGTGATTGCGCCCAGGACGGAGAGGCGATTGACACGCGACTTGATGTTGGAGGCCGTACCAAATTCATCGGCCAACATTTTGCTGACGCGAGAAATTTGATCTTTAGGCGGAATAATCAATGAAATCATGCTGGTGCCATTTCTAAAACGAAAACAAAATCAGGATGTTAATATTTGAGAGCGAGACATAGCACAGATTAAAATGTACCGTTATAATATAAATACATATATATATACATATAAATATAAATATGTGACATTTAGACAGCAGGAGAATGCGAAAGCTCCATGAAAACAAAAAAAAAAAAAAACAGATTAAGTGACAGACAGACACGGAGAGATAACACAAAGAATTCAATAAAACCTTGAGAGTCAGATATTGCAAAAAGGTTGTGCTGAACATCTTACGAAAAGCAACACACTTAATTTGAGTTCTAGATCGAGATGATCATGCAGACAAACGGACGCCAAAAAATATATATATATATAGTTTATATTATTGTCGAGTTCTACCTGTTTCATAAAGTTGTCGAACCTCATTATTTTATTCAAATAAGCTAATATATCGATATTTTGTTGAGGTAGCAAATATTTACATATGCGAATGCGAGTGCATACGATATTTTTTTTAAATAACATCTCTACTTCAGACGTCTCACAACCATTGTGAATTTTAAATTGCTGCATTTCATGTGATTTGTTATGGTTTCCACATACAAATTTGACCTTTTTACATTTAGCAAAATCATAGATAATGTAGCAGGAGAGCGAGAAATTGTCAGAGACATTTAGCCTAATGTGTATTTACGTAAATAGGTATTGCAGCTGCTGTTAACAATGCGTGGGAGTCCATTTGTAATCAATTGCAAGCAATGATTGGTTCGTTGCCAACACAGCATTAACATTAGCATTAGCTCCACGCATTACTCACTGTTCGATTGCGTTGTGTCTAGTTTGAACTGATAAAAACCTGACAAAAAAAAACGTGTTGCTCTCAAATTATTTACGCAAAGAGCGCGCGAGAGCGCCAAAACACACACACACACACACACACCCATGGCTGAGAGTCGGTTGTCGCTTGGTGTGTGAGCGAGTGTGGGGCAACGCCACACAGATATAAATGGGGCTTTTTGTTTGTTACCAACACCAGCCACGCATATGAATTGAATTGGTTCAAACCAAACCGTTGTTATTTTTAACTGACTCGAACAAGAAATTGCAAGTTTAGCATTTAAGCAGTTGCCACAGCTGAAGTTAAGCATCTATGTGACAACGCTGACCCTGCGATGGCTCGCTAAGCTTTTTTATACCCTTGTTTTATTTTTGCATTGCCAATTGATAGCCAACAAGGGGTGAGTGCAAAATACTCAACAATCGGATATTCAACTCACTCCACTGTCATTTGTTGTACGGCGACGGCGCGCTGAAAGGCTGCCTCCTGCCCCCATAACCCAATATATTTCGTGTGTACCACCATAAACGAAAAATGCCATCAGAACAAAAAACAATAATTTTAGGTGGGCAAAATATTATAACATGTATGAAATTACTTACCCTCGTGCCATTTCCAGGCTTTTGATGAGCTTCTTTATTTTCCATATTTCGACATTGCGATCAGCGGACGTTTCTTCGCCAGACATTTTGCTTATTTATTTCTATTTATTTACGGCCCTTTGTGCGAATTAGGAAAACAAGAACGGGACTGGGGCCTCTGCTTCTTTATATGACTTTTCACTTGCACTGCCAGGAAATGGAAATGTAACGACGATTTGTTGTTTTCAATTATTGTTCAAGTTTTGTGATTGTGTTGCCTTTTTGTATTCACATTCACGTTCTTCCTTTTAACGTGGTTGGCGATGAATACACTAAAAAATAATTACATACATGAATATGTATATGTATGTGGATGTTGTGTACATGCATATGTAAGTAAAATAAAGAAAGCTGTGGCAAAAAAGAAGGCAACTAAAAGAAAGTCAAAGTGGTGGGCTATTTCAAAATTTGGGTTGAATTCAAACACAACTATTTCAAATCTGTTGTTTTTCAAACGAAATCTAAATAAGAAAATCAACTTGAGTTGAAAATCAAACTTATTATTTCACTGCACTAAGGAGAGAATGTGAGCAGAAGAATGAACGCGAGTAAGAGAGCGGGAGCGGGGCTCCAAAGGTGACGTCGACACAAAAATCATTTCGCAAGCACTTAAAAAATTGAGAATGTAACCAAAATGGTATGTGATTTGATAAACTGCATGTTTAAGTAGAAGTTGCTACACTTTTTTGATAACTTTAAATAAGTTTTAAGCAATTATAATTGATTTATAAAAGTTTTACGTACAACGTGCGCACAAAACCCACTCGGATCTAGTGTGACCGAATGTTGAAAAGAGTCTTACACTGAAAGCCAGCAATTCAGTTCATATGTGACTGGTTCTAGTTCCATTTTTTATAAATGAATGAAGACAAATTTTGTTAGAAGCTATAAATACAAATTAAAGCTACTTTAACTGCTTATACAAATTTGTGATATTCATTGACAATCTGAAATCATTTGACATTCATGACATATAGATCCTTTTTGATATTACGATATATAAGCAATCGACGATTCCCAAAAACGATAGTCGATATCCGACACTTTAGGTTGAATGGATATTTTAATGAAGAAGAAACCCAAACATGAATTTGGAGCTGCTCGGTAGGTTTTGCGCTATTTCCGTGGAAACTCAATTGTACCATTTGTTTATTTCTTATAAATAGAATCCTTTGGCCAAAACTATCCCGAGGAGTTTGATGGCTCCCTGGATTGCATATCATTAGCTGTTACGTGCGCCTTTAACAAATACGGCACTTTGCTGGCCGTGGGATGTAATGATGGACGCATTGTTATTTGGGATTTTTTGACGCGCGGCATCGCTAAAATAATTTCCGCTCATGTGCATCCTGTTTGCAGTCTGAGCTGGACTCGAAATGGCCATAAGGTGACATAAATGTGCCCTTAATCACCTATCAACCTCTTATATACTTTTCATTCTAGTTGCTGTCGGCTTCAACCGACAACAATGTATGCATTTGGGACGTTCTTACCGGGGAATTGGAGCACAAGTATCGCTTTCCCTCGCCGGTGCTGAAGGTGCAGTTTGATCCACGAAATGACAGCCGGCTGCTGGTCTGCCCCATGCGATATGCTGCTGTATTAGTTAAAATTGCCGGTTCGCATCGCTGCCTTCCACTGGATTCAGATGTAGGTTTCCCTAAACTTCAGCAGGATTGGGAGTTATCTCTTTAAAGAGCTATAGATTTGGAACAACATAGATTGATGTCTATTTTTAAAATGTATTTCATTTGGCAGGGCGATTTGAATATAGTTGCCTCGTTTGATCGACGTGGTAAGCACATATACACGGGCAACGCCAAAGGAAAAATCCTTGTGCTGGACGTGGAAACATTTGAGGTCGTTGCCAGCTTTCGGATTATTGTTGGAACATCAAGTGCGACGGCAGTCAAGAGCATTGAATTCGCGCGTCGCGGCGAGTATGTGCAGCATAAAATGTTATACGACTATTTAGCGGATAACTTTACTAACAATTCTTTTGCAGCGCCTTCCTCATAAATACTTCCGATCGGGTTATACGAGTTTACGATTCAAAGGAGATTATTGCACTGGGCAAGGATGGCGAACCTGAGCCCATACAAAAACTACAGGATCTGGTCAACAAGTAAGCTCTATGCTTGTCCACAATGCCGTTCGACTAATAATTCTTTTTGCACTTTTAGAACCACTTGGAAGAAATGTTGTTTCTCTGGCGACGGTGAATACATTTGTGCGGGTAGCGCTCGACAACATGCACTGTATATTTGGGAGAAATCAATTGGTAATCTCGTTAAGATTCTGCATGGTACAAAAGGTGAACTGCTACTGGACGTTGTATGGCATCCGGTTCGTCCAATTATAGCTAGTATTAGTTCAGGCTTAGTTTCGATTTGGGCACAAAATCAGGTAGAGAATTGGTCTGCATTTGCGCCCGATTTTAAGGAACTCGACGAGAACGTTGAGTACGAGGAAAGAGAGTCGGAGTTCGATATTGCTGATGAGGATAAGTCGGTGGACTTAAATGCCGATGCTCAACAGGATGAGGAGATCGAAGTTGATGTACAAAAAGTGGAACCAGTTGCGGCGTTTTGCTCCTCTGACGAGGAGGGCGAAGACGAGAATGCTTTACAGTTCCTGCCCATGGCACCCGAGGTGGAAGATCCAGAGGATGGCTGGACATCGCAAGACAACCTGGAGCCAAGCTCAGCGCTAGTTGGCAACGATTCGCGCGACTACGAAGAGGACATCATGGCTACCAAGCGCAGACGAATGCAGCACTATGACGTCAGCCTGCCCGATGCGCCCACCGACGGTAAGCGAAATAAACTTCAGTCTCGACCAGAAAACATTCATTAGCCGCATCTGCTTCGCTTACAGAAACTCACCCGCTTATTTCGAGCAAAGCCAGCAAGGATAAACAACAACCGATTGGTGGCAAAAAAGCTGCAGGCCGCGCGAAAAAGTAACGGTTCGCAGCAATTCTAGTTTATTTAAGTTATGTCATTAAAAAACAAAAACACTCGGATTATGTCGCCTTTGGATTTCTCACTTGACCGGCGAACAGCAACAGATTGGTTGACTTCTCCACAATCATATACAGAAAGGGTCTGTTTAGCTGGAATTTCGGCGGCGTCGACTTGTTGCTCAGCACGGACGCAGTAACAGCTGCTGCGGTGGTGCCCTTTTCATCCACAATGATTTTGGTAGCATGAACACAGAGATTGGCGAACAAACCATCTGCCATGCGGCTTAGATTTGAGTAGCTTTTATCAAATAGATCGCGTATGCCCATCTGTAAAATGACACGCTTATTTATTGTACGAGGACATGTCCATAAAGTCACCCACCTCTTGGAGTAACTTCTTTAAATTAAAGTCCGTCGACGTTGTGAACTTGGGCATTAGAACTTCGACTACACTGTCTTCTGGCGCATCACGGGAAAACTTGGCAAGACGCTGCAAAAGCGGCGACAGAGTCAAATCCTTTAGATTTCTGGCCACATCATTGAGATTAAAGCCCCGCTTCGGAAGCACCACAATCATAGAAAGTCGATTCTGTTCACCATACGGCAGCTCGAGTACATAACCATCCAAGCCCTCAATGTTGGTCACATAGGCAAAGTTACCCTCCTGCACCATCATTGAGACCTGGGTGATAACTGCCCCCTTCTCATCATAGAATGGCTCCGTTCGAGTAGAGGATGTGTTAAAGGGAAACTGCAAATAGTCATCGTATTTAATATGCATATACAAGATACTGTTGTACTAATAACTCACCTTCCACTGGCCTTTGAAGAACAGCGACGACAGCATAAAAATCTTAGCACCATATATTTCCTGAGGCAACACCGCATAGGGTATGAGCCCACGAGTTGAGCGATTGGTGGCCTCATTGATCAGAAATATTGTCTCACGATTGAAGAAGTCCACCTCCACGGGATCCACTCCATAAGACTGCACCGCAACCCGATAACTGTTCCTAATCGGCGAATTCTTGTCCGTGTACAGCGCCTGCAGAGAGGCCACTTCAATTGTCGAAGTTTTTGTGCTTTATTGAGTAAAGGTGTAGATCAATTATAATATAGATTTAATTATATATTACACAATTTATGACAAAAGTAAGACACCCTTAACAAGGGTATTGCAATTGCATCTTTCTCTTACTTCAGATATTTGCTCCACACATTATAAATCGAGCGCAGCTTCTCATCCTCGACGTTGATGCGCAGCGCCTGACGCAGTTGCTCATAGGTTTGGCCGCCGGCGCCCTCGTACATCAGTACCAGCAGGGACCAGACCGAGAATGGCGATATCATAAAGTCGGCGTTATGCTTCTCAACCTCGACGGAGACGCGCAGCAGGAAATCGAGTGCGAATTCCTGGGCACCCTGTGCGACCCTACGCAACGTCTCATCATCAAAATTGGAACGCAACGAATAGTCGGGACTGCTCTGAGCTTGAAAAGCGGCGGCCGGAGTCAGCGCCTCCAGCGCATTGCCCAGGGATAGCGGCGGGATGCGCTGTTGTGCCAAGCAATAGGCGCACAACAAAAGGGTTCCACCAAGAACACGTGCCACACTATCTGGAATCGGAAATGTTGATCGAAGAAATAGTTGAAGGTAAATCTGATTTAATCTGTCGTGATTTGGCATAATATTATGGGGTACACTGGTACATTGGGGTACATTTCATATGATTAGAACCTTTTTCCGCCGAATATTGTTTTTAAATGTGCTTATCACTTGAACAAATTGGACAAAAATGTCAAATTTAAAGCTCGAAATTGCTTTTTACGATTACACTCAGCGGCTTACGAAGCTAAGAACATATAAATGTAAAATGCATTGGGTTTTACCTGTTATAATCATTTCGCGTTTTTTCTCTTGTTTCTTTTTGCTGACTAAGATTCCTCAAAAATTCTTTGAGTATTGAAATTGATAGAAATTGTATTTACAATAGGTCGATTCGCAAATATAAAAGAGAACAGTTTAATTTATGTGGATTTTTCCTTCGATTGGGAATTTTGAATTGTTTTGAATTTAAAGTAGCCACTGACGTCGCAACAATTTTTTTTTTTATTTTTGTATTTCAGTAGACGACGTCGTCGTTGATTTGTTGATTAATCCAAAACCGGAATGCACTGAAACTCACAGAGTATAAGTAAGCACATAATACTTATATAAATCGAGATTGATATATTTATATTTATATATTTATATATATGTTAGCGCATATATAAAGCTATTTCCCTGTGTCTTTGCTCTCGTTTATATAATATTTTTCGTATTTAATTCATGCGAATTATCTTTGTTTTACTCGAACAAAAGCTCACTCCCGCTTCACAGTCCCAGAGCCGTACTTAACTCACGGAGATCGACAGCGCAACTGGCATTGGCCTTAGACCAGCCAAACAAACACATGCTGATAAATAAACACTAACACAGACGCTTACACATATATACGAATGTCTCATCCGTGTGTGAGAGAGAGAGAGAGAGAGAGAGAGAGAGATCTTTGTAAAGATAGAGAAAGAGAGGGAGAAAAATACAGAGCGAGAGATACAGACCATGCCAATTAAAATGTGAACTTAGATTACAATTAATTAGTTAATCGATTCGAGTTGTAACGTTTCTGTTCTCGATTCGTGACATGAATGGGAAAACCCGTTTGGCGCCAGCGGCTGCTTTCAAAATGATTACGCATCCTTAACTCTTAGTCAATCGGATAGAGATATAAACATCCGAGCTTAAAACATTGTTTCGCACTTCGAATTCGCAACTAAAGCTCAGTTTGATTCATTATTGCTTTTCAATATAATTAAATTATTTGCATATTAAAAGAACTTTCAGAAAATGCGCTTAACAAAGCTGCATTGATTTTTATTCTCTAGTCGTTTACAAAAATTATATCAGAGTCTAATTTGAATGCTTATTTAAATTTTCATAATAATTTAAGTATAACTAGCCAAAGCCAAAGCCAATAGCATTTAAGCAAAAATACTGATCACACACACAATATTTTTATTTGATAATTTTGAAAATTACATAATGTTTATTTTGTTTAGCGAAGTATGCAACATATTTTCCTAACACGTCGGCGATCTGTCAAGGTTCGTGTCTCTACTGACATTTTTCATTGGCTAATTTTCGTGCCAAGAGTAATATGATTGACTCGGATAAAAACTCGGATACAAGATACAGCAGATATCCGAAAACATACGCAGTTTTGAAGGGTAATTTGTAGATGGTAATATGACTGGAAAAACTTAAAAGTAGGTGAAATATAATATCAAAACATAGCTAAGCGAAAAGTTGTGGACCTAGTTACATTTGTGCTGTTAAATGCACCCAATTAACTATCTTTGCGAGCTGCCTTTTGTTTTGCTAATTTTATAGTATTTTTCACACATTTTCCATTATTACTTCAGGTTATTTCGGAAGTAGCAATTGTAGCAATAATAGTCCAAACTGAATGCATAAGTTATATACTTAAATGTTAATCCAATCCCAGATAGTCTGTCTAGCGTGAATAACTAACGCGAATAAAAGTGTATCTGGCTGCAGCGTATGTTTAAAATGCGCTAAATAATACCAACAAAAAAAATACACTTTCGCCTAGCGCCAGCCGAACGTTACGTTGTGTCGTTACATTCAACAGTGTGACTCCGAAAAAGCAATAACGGCGTTTTTATCAACAAGTCGCTTTAGTTAGTCAATGGTATCGCGCGGTGAAACTACTTACATGCTGCACACACACTTGCCCGAGCGGACGGCCCCAAAGAAACATCGCCTTGATAGCTAAAGTACATACACATACACGTACACATATACAATTATTTGGTTTTTGTTCAATTGCTCTTCGCATCTTGGCAATGATGTTCGGAGTCAGTAAAAGTGAAGTTTTATAATTCTGGCTGTTATTGAATTTCTGTGTGCTGAGTGCAGTTAACGGTAACGGTAACGGTAACGGTTACGTGAAAGTGGACTGTGCAAAAATGCTGCGTTTTTATTGTACCTGTATTAAATAATACATTTGCATTGGTGAAAGTATGTTAACTGCTTCTGAATCGAACGTCGGCCAATGAAACGTGCAACACAAACAAGACGAAGGCTGAAGGTTGACAGTGCAACAAATAATAAGAAATCAAAAGAAACTCAAACTACGACCCCGATTTTTGGAATATACCTACACACACATTTTCACCGCACATTTTAGGTATAGGACTTGTGTTGAATGTAAATGTAATAAGTGTATTATGAGCATTTTTATGTTGTGTTTGTTGTTGTTGCCGCTGTTGCAAGTGTTGTAAGCAAAGCCAAGTGAATCGCATGTTACGTTGCCAAAGAAATTGATAACCAGATTTTCAGCCTAACACACGTACACATACAAACTACACACACACATACACTCACACATATGCATTCCCGGCTGTGTGTGTGTGTGTGTGTGTGTGTGTGTGTGTTTGTATAGGTAGATTCATTTGTATTTGCACAACACGAGACAAACCGGCGCGAATACCAATTGATTGCGCAAAACTGACCCCAGACAACAAAAGCCACAGCAACAACAATAACAACAACAACAGCTTAACCCCAACAGGTGGCAATGCGTTGGGTCAGCGGCAAGGTCAAAGCAATGCAGCCGCTGTCAACTAGCTTGAATGTTCAAGAAAAACTCTGTCGGCAACAATTTGGAGAAGCAAAAACAAAAGACTTGCGACACGAACTTGTTGCGCAGTCACACTTGTTATTTATATCATGTACTTAAGCACGCACATATATGTCTGTCTATATATTTGTATATATATACATATACATTATATAACTCCAAGCCAATTGGAACATATACGAAAATTAATAAAAAACCAAAAAATGTCCCAAATTAAAAAGGCTATTTGAAAGTTTTTTGGGTTAAATTAATTTTGTTTTTTTATTCGCTAAGTCCAAAAATATGCTAATTAGGCATTTGGTTATGGTTTGAAAAATGTGATTTGTGATTTTCTGCTTGGATTGCGGCTTGGCGCAGCTTTTGTGCGCTTTTATTTGTTCCATCTGTAAATAATTTATGAGCAGTGATTTGGCACAAATAGCAAACAAAATACATTAAATAAAACAAAAACAAATAAGGTTCAAAGAAACACAAATTGCATGTGACATTGACAAAGGAATATGATGAGCAACAAAGCTAGTTTTTTATTTAAAAGCAATATTATTGTTCATTTTTTTTTTTTTGGTGGGCGTCTTGTCATTGTAAAACTGTTTGTTATAAATAGGCAAAATATGTTTTCAAAACGTGTTTCCTCTTTTTTTTCCATTTGTGTATTGTACTTGCGCAATATTTTTGCACATCTTGCGACAATACTTTGGCCCGTGCGAAAATCTCGGCACTTTTTTTTTTTTTTTTGGACATGTTTCATTATTCAACTGCGCATATAAAACTGACAGGTTAATTAGTTGTATGTGTCTGTTGCAAAGTTTAAAAAAACATAAAATACTATAAAAAAAAAACAAACAACAACAACAACTACGCGTCTGTGTACTGAGCTGTGCGTGTCTTCTGCCAAGCCAATGAGTTTATACCCTTGTACACAAATTAAACTTCAATTTCGGAAATCCCCATGACTTATCAGATCCAACAAGCATTATGCAATACAGTTTATGGTTTTCTTGTAGCGAGTGCGTTTATTATGTTTATTTTATTTTTTACAGCTATATGATATAGTTATCCGATTTAAGCGCTTGTAATGCATATTCGATGTGGCAACAAAATCGTGACAAATTTTAACTACTCCCGAGCAAGTGTATAAACGCCGAATACTGCCTAGCTTTTTGGCCATATTTGCAATTCATTCAGCCAGTAGCTAGGAAACTGGTTATATTCCAAAAACAAAAAAACAAAAATTACATTTGTGCTAATCATGGACCTGTGGTCAGTTTTGTAATGCGAATATGTGATTTTTTTTTTGCGACATCGTCTACGAAACACTTCGCTTCGATTTGCAATTCGACTCGATATTCTCGAAAGTAAACTGCTTCTAGATCATACCTCGGGGCAATACTATACCAACAATATATAAGATTCGACTTATCTTCTTATATATAATAGTTTGCCCAAGATGTAATTATAAGATTTGAATAGTTTGTGCCTCTATTATGTGTACTTCATATAAATATCTAAATAAAATGTATTTGTATATCCTACAAATAAAACTTATTTCTAAATATTTATATTAAATCCAAACCGAATATATTAATATAAGGGATATAATAATGAAGGTTGAGCAGGTTGTGTGTACAGCTTTTTCGGAAGCATGCCAGCGAAGGTTTTGTTCCCTTCTGTAAAGCCTTAACCGGTTGAGAATTGCAAGCGTCTAGCCAGGAATAAGGCAAAGCGTACGTATTTAGTATTAATGGGGGGCAACACGTTATCTAGACTTTATGAACCCCTTCGCTAGCTTGAAATAATCCATTACCACACTGTGCTGCGTTTACAAGGCCTGCAATTTTATTTTCATTTTCATTTTGGGCGCATTCAACCCAATGCACGTCCATTGATGGTAATTATTACAGAGTCTTACTCTGAATGCTGAAACCGAAACTGAAACTGAAACTAAAACTGGTTATGGTGAATTCAAGCTCAACCGTGGCGCTAGTTACCCTTACTTGAGTTTTGTAGCTGCAATCGTTCGTGAGCTTTTCGAAAGCCAAGAAGCCGAAAATGCCTGAATTGAACAGTAGCCAAAATGTGCACAAACATGTGAGGTATATTAGCTACTCGAGCTAAGTGGCTTTTGTATGATCATGTCTCTCGATAGCTCTGGGCATGCTCGACTAGAAAATACCTTATTGCCATGACCTAATTTAAGATGAATTATGAGCTATAAATATGAAGACCCATTTCTATTTTTATTGGCTAGGTTTAAGTATTTTATAGAACTATATGTAGAGTATATTCAAGTCGTTCAATTTAAACATTATCAAACCCACACCGTGACCAATTAAAAGAAAATTCGCTGCCAATGAGATTGTCGAAACAAAAGTCGAGGTAATCTTTTTTCTTTAATAATGTTTCGAGCTTTGGAAAACGTTTGTAATCACTTTTAAATGATGTTATATAGTGTCGGCAATTTGGGACTTCCTATTGTCCAACTCTAGTGTTACTCAAAATGATCGCGTGCTCAAAGATATCCAAAAATAATTTTTCTTATTGAATGTAAAGCTATGTACTATGCAACCTTTAGTTAAATAAGCTTAATTTACAATTTTATTAAATCTTTGGCGAAAAGAACTTCTGGGTTCTTCTTGCACTTAAGATATCATCTTTTTTATATATATGCACATTGGAGTTAATACTTATTATTGATATCTATATATCAT